AAAATAATAATGGAGTTATGACAATAATAAGAGTGACTGAGGTGAGTTTTATGAGTGGAACCCTTCCCTCACTGAAGATATATAAATAAATAAGTAGATTGACAATAAATACAACACCGCTGAGATTAAGTGAATTGTTTGATGTGTGGTTTAGTTTAAAACAGCAACAACAATTTTATGTGTTCCATGTAGCCTAAATGTCTGTTTAAAACCCACCAAAAAGCCTAATTTTAGGCTACACTACAGTCAATATTATTATTTTACATTTATTTGTAAAACTAGTGCTTTTAAAAATGTGTTCCACTTCTTGTGCTTGTTTCATCCTTCAATATAATAATCATTTTACGTTTTAATCAGTTATGGCCTTTAATTTTTTTTTAAACGTAGACTGAGAATGCTAATGAAAGTCTATAATGGCGTTCATTTTACGGCAGGGGTACATCACCGGAAAGATCGTGTTCACGTTTTGTTTTGATGTGGACATCTACTTCGACCAGTCAGACGGATTCACATTCATGCTGTTTAATAAATTCATGCTGTTTAAATCCTTCTCCAGACACATTTAGTTGCTGCTTGTTAGTCAGATCAAATTTCTATGTTCCTTCTTAGTGTCAACTGGGGAAAATGATTGTGAAAAAAACTGCTTATGATAAACCACAGTGAGTTTACCTGCCAGCTCTGCGTGACGTGTGTGCATGTGAAGGAGTGCTCCTGTCAGATCTGAGTAGCCTACAACACCGATAGCCTTTCGTTTTAAAAAGTACCTCACAGACTGCAGCACAAACTCAAATGTACATCTCGATATGCTAAAGTGTTCCTCCATCTCTTTACATCGATGTTGTTCACAATATCGTCAAATGTGTAAACAAGTTGTGTTTAGATGTTGGTAAGCGCTTCTGTCGGATGTTGCCAGCTATTTTCAATGAAAAGGCACTAAGCTCTGCCCGAAATGTTGCTAAATGTTGCTAGATTACATCGTACTTCAATTTGCATATTACTAACATCATCACCTCCAGCTGCTTCTGTTTGTTTAACAGCCTATGGTTAATAAAGGGGTATTTATATTTACACTACGCTCCATGACAATTTAACTACATTTATTGCTGTTTGAATACAGTATATCAGTATAGATGTGTAGTGAATTTGCTGTAATCTCTCAGACACAATACTCAGACAAGTTCTGAAACTGTTACTAAAATATCTGTGATTATGAACAAGAAAAGAATAAACGATCAAATTAAATTGTTAAGTTTAAAACAAAGGAGAAACAGATCGGTTTAACTGACAAGGGAAATACCTCACACTCACGGTGCTAAATAATTTGCCGTCGGTACCTAGAGTGCTGCCGGTGGGAGAGACTGCTATACGAGGATGGGGCCGCCTGTCAGTGCTTTGAGGCAGGGGAGGGGGCGACGGCATCACCCGCAGCTCGATGAGAAGGGTAGCAATGGTTCAGTACAGACACAAGAGAGTCTATAAAAATCTTCAATAACACCAAAAAGTGGCTAGATTTGTCACTAGTTGCTTTTTTGAACATTGGTCACTAGGGGGTCTGAAAAGTCACTAAATATAAAAACAAAACCTCACAATTGGCAACACTGGTTAATAGATTTCTTCCTGGTTATTTAGTCTGTCTCTGGGACAAAAACACCTACATAAATGAAAGTGAAACCATCAAGAAATAGACTAACCCTCTTGTTTAATACACTGTAGCTGTTTAGAGCAATTTTTTTATTAATAAAGTCAGAATTTACTGGTAGTTTGTAATGGATGTGTGAATGGTCTTTTCCGGAACATTCTTGCCTGTGTGAACAGCACATATTTGAATTTACCAGTAAAGTCTTTCCGGTAATTTTCTGGTAATTTTCCGGTAAACACTGTGTGAAAGGGGCTAATGACTTGCCTAATTACTCTAACTCGCCTAGTTAACTTAATAAACCTAGTTAAGCCTTTAAATGTCACTTTAAGCTGAATACTAGTATCCTGAAGTTATCTAGTCAAATATGATGTACTGTCATCATGACAAAGATAAAATAAATCAGTTATTAGAAATTAGTTATTAAAACTATTGTTTAGAAATTTATTGAAAAAATCTTCTCTCCATTGAACAGAAATTGGAGAAAAAAATATGCAGGGGGGCTAATAATCCTGTATGTATTTTTTCCATATTTCAGCGTTCATTGCACTTAAGATAAAGGAATCTAAATCCACATTACCTGCAGCCTTATACATTCACCGGTCATCATATTCACTAAACCGTGAAAGAGCGGGTTTGATTTAAAGAGTCATTCTACCATCTCAAGTGTTTGTTCTCTTTCTCTCGGGGATGAAACTGAAATCCGTGTGCTGTGGTTTTATCATTCCCACTCATCTGTCTCTCTCTTTAGCTCTTTTTTTGTGCGAGAGGCCTTCTTGCCTTGAAGCTTTTACTCTTGAATGCGAGGACATGTCTGTGTCTAAAGCAGAGTGAGAAAAAAAAATGGAGAAACTGAAAATAATCAAAAGCTAAAGAAAGCCAGTGCTGACTTTAATTGGATTTTGGAGGTAGGAGTCTGCACGGCTCGTACATGACAGAATAGAACAATTTCAATCATTTCGATACATGACGGGGGACTTTTCCAAATGTGATGTTGCGGGGGAGGATTGGGTGGAAGTTGAATTTTCTCTTTTAGTGAACTGAAACTGGTGGACAATTCAAGATTGAACAAATCTTCAAAAAGTACCTCCAGAACAGGACAAATATATTTTATTTAACCCTTGTGTGCTGTTGGAGATTTTTTTAGCCACTCTGGGGTGATTTTGAGGCTTAATTTGCCCACAACCTTCTCTGTGTTTCAGCAGTTTTTGGTGATAAATCTTATTTTGACACATAGTTTATGAAAATGCTATGTAAAAATGTTCAAAAACTCAACAATACACTATTTACTATCAAATATACTACCCTTTTGTTATGTTGGTGACTGTTTTTGCCCCATTGACTTTCATTATAAGGACAATTTTTGATTGCAAAGCCATGACACCGTATAATCATGCATTCTTTATTGTTGCTGGTTTTCCCTGTTGGGAAGAGATTAAATGTGTCATTTTTACTGTTGGGCATCAGTTTTTAGTTTCTACCATCAATATAGAGCAATTGTCTCAAACTCAATTCCTAGAGGGGGCCACAGCTCTGCAGATTTTAGCTCCTAGGTTTTGCTTAATAGTTTCTAGTAGTCTTGAACACCTTGATTGGTTGGATCAGCTGTTTGATTAGGGTTGGAGCAAAACTGTTTAGAGCTGAGACCCTTCAAGACTTGAGTTTGAGACCCATGATATAGAGTATAGTGTATATGACAGAGAGACCTTTGTGCATTTTCTTGATTTGTATGAGAAAATCTAAATAAGCACCTTAGCTCTTAAAACATAGTAAACATAGTAAGTGTAACATTTAGTCGGGTGACAACGGAGTTGAGGGTCTAAATGTAGTTTATTAACTCAGAGTCATGCAGGCAATGGACAAAACAGGAGCAAACAGTATCATGAGCAAAATCCAAAATCGCCATCGTGGTCACAGTTAAAGAGGTCGATACAAGTGGCAAAACAACATAAAAAAGAAACAAGGCTAGGCTAGACAATAGAACGGTTTACAATAGTGATGTGACATTGTGCGCCGAGGCTTTAAAGCATGTATATCAAAAAAATTATACATCCCGCAGTGAAGCAGTGTATCGGTACTTGATTAGTTTCACCATAATCACGTGATCAGTGACGTTTTTGTTGATTACATACATTTCTACTGTTTCAAAGCACTACATCGGTCCCACGAACCAGCAATTCAAATAAAATGCAGTACTAATTTATAGTAAAAAGCTTTTGAACCATACTAAAGTGTATTAGTGTATTATTTACTGCTATTTTTAAGGAAGGCCACTGCATATTGTAAAATAGTGTGTATAGGGTATATGACCAAATCAAATCAAATCACTTTTATTGTCACATCATCAGCAACACGTGTATTATGAGTGAAAAGCAGTTGAAATACAATAAACATAAATACTTTTGAATAACTTGAAATTTACTACAGTCATCTCTGATGTAATGTAACATACCTTATATGAAAAAAACTACAGTATCTGAGTTATTTGTTTATATTACTTTTGTTGTATTATTATCATTATTATCATGGCTTTGCAATCAAAAAAATGTCATTATAATAAAAGTCAATGAGGCAAAAACAGCCACCAACATAATGAACAGGTAGTCAATTTGAACAGTACACAAGAGTTAAAAAAATCTTTAAATTTCATAGTAAATTTCATCATAGTTTAAAATTTAGAAATAAAAATTAAAACTATATTGACATTATTGGTACAAAAACACAACCAAAATAACTAAAACTTGGCCTAAAATTAAAACATACAGGAGGGCTAATAATCCTGTATGTGTATGTTGCATACTTCAGCGTTTATCGCACTAAAGGTAAATTAATCTAAATCCACATTACCTGCAGCCTTATACATTCAACGGTCATCATTTTCACTAAAACTGGAATGAGCAGATTTGATTTGAAGAGTCGTTCTGCCATCTCGAGTATTTGTTCGCTTAGTTAAAAAAAAACGAAACATTTTCATAGTAATTTTTTATTATAGTTTAAAAATCTGTTTAGACATTGAGACATAAAACTATATACAAATAACTGGGACAAAAACACAACCAAAATAACGAAAGATTGGCATAAAAAAAACTTCTATATAAGTCAAGCTATTATTAAAACTAAAATAAATTATCAGTGATACTAAAATAACACTACGTATATAATTCCCATTTTCACACAATTACAAAAAATATTTACTGTTTTAAACCCTCTGGAATATCTTTCTTTATTTTTACATTATTTCTTATGAGCCAATTGTCAGCATATAGTTATTTTATTAATTCAAAATGCTAATTTAAACTGATGTCTGTTTTATATTACACTTGCGGGTCTAATGCTCCGGTTTGTCTATTTTCTGTTCTTCCAGGTGATCAGCCGCCTATACACAGAGATGAGGCCATCTTCATCGCCCTGGCCTCCGTCTCCATTGTGGCCGTCCTTATTGTCGCGCTGTTCTTTGGCTATCGTGTGATGATGGGTGAGATGCAGTACTTCAAGCTATTATTGTCAAATGAAGGTCACGTCATGCATGTACAGTGTTGTGACGGTTTTCTGTGTTTGTTCCAGGCGAGTGTAAACAGGGCCTGCACAATATGGACATGATAGAGGCTGCGCCATCTGAACCTTCGCTGGATTTAGACAGTTTAAAGCTCCTCGAAGTGAGTTCGATGTTTTAAGAGACACCAAATATATGGGTGATTCCATAATTGGAAATACGTTTAAAATTTCAAAATGTAAAAAAAAAAAACCTAGTTACTAATGACTCAGTTGAATTCCACTGCATTTATTTCCGTTTTCACTGTCAGAAGTAATAAAGTAGCAAACAATACTGTATCACTTTTTCGGGGCCCTTTCACAACAACCCAGGCTCACTGTGGATACGTACCCCTATCTACATTTCTAGGGACAGTGAAATATGTGACCGATGGTGTGTTTGCTCGCAGGTTTTGTTTTTACAAATCCACTAGAGGTGGCTGTGTACACTTTTTCCTCTTTCCTTGCTGTGTACACTTGTGTCCTCTTTCCGTGTAAATTCACCAAAAGGGGGCAATATACACTTTAACTGACCAGGCCGGTATGCTGTCAACTGAATGACTGACCAACTGACCCACCCACCCCCTTCCCTAAACCCAAACGATAGTGTTTTCAAAAGCAATCTAGAAAAAGAAAAGCTGTCATGGCCGCGTGATTTCACCATGGACTCGAATCCTGTCATCCTAGTTAACTCAACTCTGCATCCCTAGTCCACCAACGTATGTGGGGAGCTACTGGGCAAACACTGGAAAAATGTCTGGACGAAGGTAAGCGGTCAGCTGGTAGGACTGTAATGAAAAGAAGCCCCATAGCTTTCATTTTTAAGACGAAATGCAGCCATACGTAGCACTGGCTACATAATTCGTTCTCTCCTGAAATGTAGTCAGGGGAACCCAGGCTGTTTCATAAGGGTAGCAATCAATCTCAACGCTATCGTATAAAAAGGGTGGAGCTAGACATGCTGCTGAATGCAATTGGTTTACAGAGATTCGTCAACAGCGTGTGCAACAAGACAAGGAAACGACAACACAGAAAGTGACATTTTTAAATACACATACAAAACACAGCACCATAATAATACGTTGTGACTTGAGCCTGCAAAAGATGCAGTATATGAACGGCACGTAAGGCTTTCTTCTTTGAGCGAGAATGGTATCAATCTCAACTTTCTGGCATACACTGCTTCTACCAAGTAAGGTTACTCTTAGCATTTCAAATCTGTTAAGAAGGGTAAAAACGGAGGTCGGAGCTAGCTCCAAGTGGGTGGGACTTAAGCTCCAAGTGGGTAAGACATCAAGCTCCAAGTGGGCTGTACAAACCTGGAATGACACAGAGTCCAAGATTGTGCTTTATAAACGTCTACATCTACCCCAACCCTAAACCCAACCACTCAGTAACCTGATGTGTTTTGCTAATATCTGCTCCACCTAGACCACTTAAACCCAACCTACTTGTGGTTTAAGTCCCTTCCACTTGGAGGTCACCCAACCTACTTGTGATGTAATTTCTCCCACTTCAGGTCTGTAGGCTGCAGCGATACCTACTTGAAGGCGTATTCACACTATGTACATTTGACTTAAACCGGGCCAAAGCACGCTTTTCCCCCCTCCCGTCTCCCCAGACGGCCCACACTCACATTACATTCGGGCTTTGGCATGCTTACCTCATTGTTGATAAACAGTCATAAAGTCCTCGTGCTGCAGGAATTAGGAGGTTTGCTGAAGGGACAGTAAGGAGTTTGCGTCTTTAATAAACTATGACAGTTTGCTTTTATTGAACTGTAAGAATGATTAATAAATCCATATGAAACATTCCCTTAAAAGTCACGCCTTGCTTTCAGTTTCGGCTCAAGCACATTTTGCACTACAAGCGTACTGCGCCAAAGCCCAAGTGAACCACTGAGCCCGATTCAAAGCACTCACACTTCTCAAACGATCCGGGAAATGGGAAACAGCCGACTGTGTGATTATTGATAAACTGTGTTTCTTTAGATGTCATGGTAACAGTTTTGAAATTAAAAAAAAAAAAAAAAAACTTTTGGTGTAAGAACTTTACAGATCAAAATAATAATAAAGCAAGAGCGCACATTTCTTTCAGAAATTATCAGTGAGGGAAAGTGACATTGGGCGGCACGGTGGATAAAATGTGGATAAAAAAAATCCCATTTTCAATGCAAAATCAAACCACATGTATGTTGGGAAATTAAGGCTCAATTTTTTAATGCCAAATTTTGGAAGTAAAGAAACTAAATCAGTTTTATACATCCCCTGATAAATAAGGGACTAAGCCGAAGGATAATCAATGAATAAGAGTGTATGGTGAAGTAGACGCTGACAAAGGAGTTGAGGATCCAATCGCAGGGTTTATTATAGAGAGATGGTCAGTCCAGTGGCGTAGCGGACGGGCCCGCAGGGCACGCACCGCGGGGGGGCCCCGCGTGATTAGGGGGCCCCGCGTCGTCGCGATTTTCAATAAACTGTTGGGAACAACTGTGGTCGGAACCAAAGTTCACACGTCTGTGTTCTCTGAACACCTCTCAAGCGGTGGACTACTTCATTCTGATTGCTTGCCGCCAATGTTGCCAACTTAGCGACTTTGTCACTAGATTTAGCGACTTTTCAGACCCCCCTAGCGAGTTTTTTATGTGTTATTGGAGATTTTTTTAGACTGTCATTTGTCCATACTGTACCGTCCCTACTCTTCTCAACGAGCTGCGTGTGATGCCGCCGGCCCCTCCCCCGCCTCACAGCACTGACAGGCGGCCCAGTCAGTCCTCAACAGCAGCCTCTCCCACCTGCAGCCCGAGAGCAGATCACCCCTCTGCGTACCGACGACAAATGATTTAGCACAGGCAGTGTGAAGGTATTTCCCTTGTACAGTCAAACCGATCTGCTTCTCCTTTATTTAAACAATTTATTTGGACCGTTTATTCTTTTCTTGTTCACAATCACAGATATTTTAGTGACAGTTTCTGAACTTGTCTGAGTTTATTACATGTGAGAGATTACTGCACATTCACTAACGTTACACATCTATAATGACATGCTGTATTCAAACAGCAATAAATTTAGTTAAATAAACATGCTTATATAAAGTGTAGTGCAATTATAAATGCCCCTTTATTAACCATAGGCTGTTAAACAGAAACGGTAGAACGTTATGACGTCAGTGATATGCAAATTGACGTATGACGTATCCTCCCCCCCTTCATCAGGGGGCCCCGTCAGCGATCCCTGCAGGGGGGCCTCCGCATTTTGCGCTACGCCACTGGGTCAGTCAAGCAATGGTCAACACACAGGCAATCCAGAGTTGAAGTCAAATAAACAGGCAGATGATCAAAAGGCAGGCAGCAGACAGGAATAAACAAACAAAACAAGGCGAGGGTCTAAAACATGGCAAAACTAGGCAAAGGAAAGCACATCGTAATGATTACTATACAGTTTACAAGACTTAGTAACAATGTTTGTGTTTGTGCTGTTTTTATAGTCCATGTAATCACATCATGAGCGGTCTGTGTGTGTGCAATTACTGGAACTGTGAGCATTTGTGTGTGTGTGTAAGCGGTGCATGACTGGATCTTGTAGTTCATGAAATGGTGGATTTGTAGTCCTTTAACGATCTGCAGCTGCTAGATCGCTGGTGATCATAACAGAGAGTATCAAAAGTAAAGTCAAATAAAAAGAAATAAGAACTTACAACACACACTTTTTGGTCACCGTAAACGTCTTGTTGTTTATGGCAAATTATTAAAATATTCATTAAAGATTTAGATGAAAAGTGTAATGACTTCCAAGTTTACTTGCCATTATAGAATTACCCATGTGCACAGATTAGCATATTTCAATTCTGAATTGTATTGTGATGAATTCGAACGATCTGTGTTTGTTTGCCATGTAACATCTGCTATTATTGTTTTCCCTGCAGCTGATTGGCCGAGGCCGCTACGGTTCCGTCTACAAGGGGTCTCTTGACGAACGGCCGGTTGCAGTAAAAGTTTTTACCTATGCCAACCGGCAGAACTTTGTGAATGAGCGCTCCATCTACCGAGTGCCTCTTCTGGAGCATGAAAACATTGCTCGCTTTATCGTCGGCGATGAGCGGATGACCACTGACGGACGCATGGAGTACCTGCTGGTCATGGAGTACTACCCTCATGTAAGTATTGATCCAGTTCTCTCATCCCTAAATGTGACTCGGTTGGTGTCGCTTTTCACATTTTACCTTCATCTGTCCTTTATTCTCCTTTCTCTTGGTTTTACTGTCTCTGCTAACTATTTCTGCCAAAGTCAAGAGCGGAATCGAATGTCCTGCCGCTCTCTGGACTGATATTTTTATCCATGATTCAGATGGATTTCCAGCACGCAGCATGAGAAGGGCGACTTGGATGTCAGTCGTGTTTGTCTTTCTCTTTCTCTCTTTCTAACTTGATCCTATCAGTTTTCATTCACTTATTCTGTATCAGACTGCCACTGGAGGGAGATAAATGTGTTTATAGTTTCTGGGATGCAGTGCACCACTTTTGTCACTAGTATTTTAGCAATATTGCGCTGAATTTTTGAGAAAATAAGGCTTGTGAGTAAAAGAGGTTTAATAATTCTTGCATATTTACCATATTAAAATGTGATACATGGAAAAAATATGTAAAGGACATGCAGTTGAAGTCAAATGGAGTTAGTGTATATTTTTCCCCTATTTCAGTTTAACAGAGAGAAGATTTTTTTCAACACATTTCTAAACATAATAGTTTTAATAACTCATTTCTAATAACTGATTTATTTTATCTTAGTCATGATGGTAAATAATGTTACTAGATATTTTTTCAAAACACTTCTATACAGCTTAAAGTGACATTTAAAGGCTTAACTATGTTAATTAGGTAGGTTGGGGTAATAAGGAAAGTCATTGTATAATGATAGTTTGTTTTGTAGACTATCGAAAAAAAATTGCTTAAGGGGGCTAATAATATTGACATTACATTATAATTATTTTTTTTAATTAAAAACTACTTTTATTCTAGTCTAAATAAAACGAATAAGACTTTCTTCAGAAGAAAATATGTTGTAAGAATTACTTTAAAAATTGGCAGTTCATTCCGCTTTGGCGACCCTGGATTAATAAAAGGGAATAAACCAAAAAGAAAATGAATCAATGAATGAATACTTTGAAAATTTCCTCGCTCTATGACGTTAAAGGTCATATTTGGATTTCCCTTATATAAAATATATGTTATATATGCATCTACAAAATCTACTTCCAACGGTTAAAAACAATATTTATATATATAAATATTAAATAAAAAATATATATATATTTTGCTGTAATTTGAAATATATGTCTCAGAAATGACATTTTATGTAAGTGAAATCCAAATTTGAAGTTGTATGTCATATATATAATTTGCATACCAGTGCTTCCCACAAATACACTTTACTTGGGAGGGCCACCCAAGTATATTTAGTGACACGATTTTTTACTATTATTATCATCCTTTTACACTTTTTTTGTATCCCCCCAATATAAACAAACATCCGCGAGCCATTAAGTGGTGTAAAATCTCCTCTCCTTTATCCGTTTTATACTGCTCATTCTGTATGTGCGAGACCTGCCAACACTCCCACAGACAGTCTCACGTGCTCTGCAGACGCATATAAACCCGCACTTTTTTTGCATCTGGCCGGGGTTTCTAATCTACTTGCTTTCGTATTCTAAGCTTTCATTAATTTTATGCGCACAGCCGTAAGAGCGAAAAAGACATTAAATAAGGGAAGTTTCACAAACTAATTTCGAGAGGAGCATGTGATATGATTGAGCACAACTGGCTTCTCATATGTAATCAGAAATAATCCAATCAGAGTGATCCATGCATACTATAAATGAATTTTTTTTTTCTCTACTACTCTAACTTCGTTTTGGAAGAATCCCCCCTTCCACCCCATCTCCTCCTTTTCCTCCCTTTTCTGAGGGGAAGCTCTCGAGACCTACTTGATTTCGGATCCCCTTATATGCTTATTTTTTCCTTGGGCTCAAGTATCTTCAAGCTCAGGGTTCCCTCCCGGGACAGCATGCCAAACCTGCTATAAACGGCAAGCATTCCAAGTGGGAACTCTTAAATTAATTTCTTTAATATAAATGACTCAGAAAAACTGTACCAAATACTCTGAGAGGACGAATTACATCTAAATCCGCTGCAGAATATTTGCCCACCGTTAATAATGGTTAATCAACTCATTTGTCCTATTTAAATAATCTACACGTTTTATTCTTGTAATTATAATTTTTTTGAGATATTGTGTTTTTAATTCTTTTTTTCTGTCATTTATTTTTCATTTACTGTATGTTTTATTAATTTGTTGATGTTAATAGGTTACATATTTTATTATAAAAATGCTTTAAGAGTGTTTATAAGAAAAATAGCATAAAGAGAAATAGTGAAGGTTTACGCTTTGATTATGATTATGTTTTGTTTGTCGCATGTAGTTAACTATTTATGTGCTGTGGGTAAAAGGTGTGTTTTAATTTGGTTACCACTGCAAGTATATTTCAAACCTGTGGGAAGCACTGCATACATTGCTATATATCAGATTTATGTATGAGTTTGTTCATCATCTTCACAATTAAAGACCCAAGAAATGATTTTTGCTGCTTTTCCAAACTTCTTTTTTTATAATGAGCTTAGACCACACATTTCTTGAGATTTTTTGGGACAACTAAACTGTTTTAAGTTCAGTCCAGGTAAATTTGTTACATTAACTTAATTGAATTGTGTTGGGTGAATATAAATGAATTTTGTGGAACCCTGCATATTTAATATTGAGTATAAACACGATCACATAACAAAGTAAAGTGCTCAGGGGAACCAAATACACCAATGCAGCTCCGTTAAAGAATATCTTAGCTGTGCCAGTACTCAAGATGGAATAAAGGATCACAAATTTAATTCAGGACAAGTTCTTTAGATAAGTTTTGGCTTCTATCCGATTTGAATAATTCCTTTAATGGGGTGCTAAAACAATGCAGACAGTGCATGCAAATAAACGACACTATCAACAGGCATAACTCATTCTTATTCATCCCCCCCCCCTCGGCTTGCACAACTGATAACAATAGCCCAACATGTTTTCCTGTACATTCCTGTTTGACGTGTTGTAACTCGCAGGTCTGTCTGTCTTCTGAATGACGGTGAGGAATGAGACACACCTTTATTGTGTCTGGCTGAAGACAGACAGCTCTCTGTTGAGACATCACCGACTTTGCCCATTCTGATTTATGAATTATATAACCTACACACATAGCCTAAAGCTACCGTACAGGAAAAAACAAACTCTTGTAGGTGAATGTAGGCTTTCTTTTTAGGTGTGATCTGAAGGGTCCCTTTAGCTTGAATCTAAAATCTGATTATTGTGCAACTTTAGTATTAAAAAAAAAGTATTAAATCTGTGATTGATGACTCACACAGATTTTTCAAGAGTTACTCTTAGCTGATGATTGATTATAAAGCAAGTTTGGCATGCTGTCCCAGGAGAGAGCACTGAGCTCATAGGATCCTCGAGCCCGGGGCTTTCTCTTGTTAGCAGGGCGAGAGGGGAGTTTGAGCTCAGGTAGGTCTCGAGAACTCCCCCTTATTTAGAGCTGATGACAGATTATGAATTGCTATATGGAGATATACTGCTGGTTAAGAGCTCGATTATAGTGATTATTTAAATTGATTAATTCACTTATGACATGTTTTTGAACAGTGGGAGAAAACCGGAGAACCCAGGAGAAACCCATGCGAGCACAAGGGAAACATATAAACTCTGCACAGAAACGTCAACTGGCCTGTTAAGGATTTGAACCAGGGATGTTTTTACTGTGAGCAAGAGTGCTGTGTATATATATATATATGACATGGACATCACAATTACACTGGACAACCAAATGCATTTGTTTTAGTGTTTTAGGAGGCTTGAAAAAATTTGACAAAATGGGAATATAATAAATACATATACACAGCATTATAATTATTTACATAAAATACAAAGGCAAAAGCAAAGGCGACATGATATTATATTAATATATTATTAGATTTGTTATATCATACATTAGTTTTATTCTGGTAACATTTTTAACAATTATTTAATTCACTGCATTTATCCAAGCCATAATAAAATATTCTTTCAACAATAGGTATTTAGTTTGACAGTGAAGTATATTAGTCAGTGAAAAATAATATCCAAAACAATAAGCAAAAAGAGATATATTTGTTTTAACAAAATGTATTTATATATTATTGATTAGTTAGTTGTATTGTAAATAAAATGAGCATTATTTATGAATTGATATACACTTTAATATTAATATATTATTAGATTTAATATATCCTCAATTTGTGTTGGCATTTGAGCTATTTTGGTAACATAACAGTGTATTTTAATAATTAATATAATTTTATTTGCTTGTTTTATTTGTGGGTGACACGATGGCTCAGTGGTTAGCACTGTCACCTCACAGCATGAAGGTTGCTGGTTCGAGTCCCGACTGGACTAATTGGCATTTCTGTGTGGAGTTTGTATGTTCTCCACATGTTTGCATGGGTTTCCTCCGGGTGCTCCGGTTTTCCCCAAAGTCCAAACACATGCGCTATAGGTGAATTGGATGAACTAAATTGTCTGTAGTGCATGTGTGTGAATGAGTGTGTGTATGTTTCCCAGTACTAGGTTGCAGCTGGAAGGGCATCCGCTGTGTTATACACATGCTGGAATAGTTGGCGTTTCATTCCACAGTGGTGTCAACTGATGACTAAAGGGACTAAGCCAAAGGAAAATGAATGAATGAGTTTATTTGTAATACTTTGATATTAGGAAATTCTGTAACTGCACTGTTCTTTATATGTGCGTGTATTCTACTCTAATTTGATTGGCCATCCCATTTATGCACGCTCAAAAACATGTCTGTTATCATTCACAGTTTTTAAAACAATATTTTGACCCATCAAGAGTATAAAAGTGTTGTATCCAATATACAAATCTGCTGTAATGGATTTTATTCAGCCCTGTTACATTATTTAAAAAGCTAGTCATTAGTACCTGAGTGACATTACAGCTACTGTAAATGCAGCATGACACACAATCTCCATTTACTAATAAGCAACTATTTATCCTTTCTTCGATTTGACTCCTACAGTTAGATATTTTATACAACACACATCCGCATCTCTACATCAGATTGTACTGTATGTACAAATACTTCCTGTCAAACTAATTAAATCTAATCTACAGTCTCATTTCTTTAGTTCAGATTGGAGAAAAAACATTTCTCCGTTACGTACAGCACGGTTTGTTGATGCTGGTAGTTTTAATTGCGTTGCTTCAATCCCCCAGAGGCAGTAATTAGTTGCAGGACGGCTTTACATTACAACTTTGTTGAAGATCCAATTCATTATTCAAGAGCTTCATAAGCTTCAAAACCGCTCTACAGAGATTTGAAGTGCTGATGCAAAAGCAATGCTGAGTTATGTGTAAAAGTCTAAAACAGCAATCGTCGCGCTCGTCTCTCATTAGCAATTGCTTCAGCGGTCTTGTTTCTCTTCAGCTTTTAGCCTTACTGCTACCATGTTAATAAGTTTTGAATATGTTGGTTAAACATCCATAAACATGATTTCTGCAGGAGTACTGTAGGATGTTATGTAGATCAGGGGTTCTCAAACTTTTCAGCCTGGGACCCCCAAAAAAACAAAGCCAATGACTCGCGACCCCCACTATTTTTCGGAAGTGGTTATAATCATACAAACGTTGCACACTACACTCACACAAACCAATAGGCCTATATAAACACAAGCATACTGACAACACAAAAAAGTGCAGCAGTCTAACAACCATATCATTCTTTACTTTTTAATATTATTTAATATTAACCTCACCTTATGGGCACAATATTTAAGTTACATCACAAGTTTTTTCATTCATATATTCATTTTTTTTCGGCTTAGTCCCTTTAATAATCTGGGGTCGCCACAGCGGAATGAACCGCCAAGTTATCCAGCACATGTTTCACGCAATGCATGCCCTTCCAGCCGCAACCTATCCCTGGGAAACATCCATACACACTCATTCACACTCATACACTATGGACAATTTAGCATGTATCTAATTCACCTGTACCGCATGTCTTTGGATTGTGGGAGAAACCAGAGCACTTGGAGGAAACCCACGCGAACGCAGGGAGAACATGCACACTCCACACAGAATCGCCAATTGACCCAGCGACCTTCTTGCTATGATGCGACAGCACTACCTACTGCACCACTGCGTCACCCACAAGTCTTTTCTTGGTTCAATTTTGGAGACTGCCACTTAAAGATCATCCTCCATGTTCAGTGTCCTGTATTTATTTTAAATCTACGTGAGTGCTGTAAAGGTGTCAGAAAGTTAGCTAGTGCCGTAAAATCAATCTGATGCAACAGACTCTATTGCTCTGTTGTTAATGTAATGTAAAAACTCTAGGGGATGCAATCCAACGTAAAATAACAACAGCAAAAACGAAAGGCTGATGGTTTTTTGTTTGGATATTGTATTTTTTATGTAACTATTTTTATCTTCTATAGGTTATGGATTAACAACTATAATTATAAAAGTTTATTCAAATTTATTAGATTTTTGGAAATCATCAAGCGACCTACTCTCATTGTCATTAAAAGTAAATAGTAAAATATTCAGTACTGTGAGAAATTCACTTTTACCACTACTGTTGCTTATAATGCTTAATGTATAAATCTAACATTATAATTTGTACAACCCATATTTAGATTTAGTATAATTTTTAATAAATTATTTGGTTATTCGGTTATAAAACTTCATGTTTCTGTGCTAAATGTATCATTTTTGAACAGTTATTCAGTGGCATATTTTTGATGGCTGGCTGTCGCCACCTGTTAGTTAAATAATGTATCTTTACCCTAAACATCAGTGGTTTTATCTTAATTTTATGTTTGTTACTTCACAATTAACTCAAAAGACTAAAGACTGAATCTCTTTCTTGAATTTTGCATTTTTCAAACACAGATTTGAATGCAGCGATTCAAAGGATTTATAAACATTTGCAAATCACTGTCATTTCTAATTTATGTTGCGTGGGTGTTGAGATCCCGATCTTTTAAAGATTAATTGTGCAGCTTACACTGAATGCATTAATGCAGGCTAAACAAGTAGTGACATAAAACACCTTTAATATCGTAAGAAACCCACTACATCCTGAATTACCCACTGCAACTCCTTCCGTCAGCATTATATTTTACAGGAAAGCCTAAATGCTTTCATACCTGTGATCTGAATGACATTAGAAGCGATCTCTCTGCCATCGTTACAAATTTAGAATTAATTTACAAGTAATATATATATATATATATATATATATATATATATATATATATATATATATATATATATATATATATATATATACATACAGTTGAAGTCAGAATTATTAGCCCCCCTGAATTATTAGACTGCTTGTTTATTTTTTTCCCTTGTTTATTTTTTTCCCAAATTTCTGTTTATCGCTTAGCAGATTTCTTCATCAAATCTCTAAACATAATAGTTTTAGTAACTAATTTCTGGTAACTGATTTATTTTATCTTTGTCATGATGACAGTAAATAATATTTGACTAGATATTTTTCAAGACACTTCTATACAGTTTAAAGTGACATTTAAAGGCTTAACTAGGTTAATTAGGTTAACTAGGCAGGTTAGGGTAATTTGGCAAGTTATTGTATAAAGATGGTTTGTTCTGTAGACTATCGAGAGAAAAAAATTAGCTTAAAGGCTAATTTTTCCCTAAAATAGTGTTTAAAAAAATAATAACTGCTTTTATTCTAGCCAAATTAAATCAAATAAGACTTTTTCTAGAAGACAAAATGTTATCAGACATACTGTGTAAATTTTCTTGCTCTGTTAAACATCATTTGGAAAATATTTAAAAAAGAAGAAAAACATTTGAAGGGGGCTAATTATTTTGACTTCAACCGTATGTATATACAGTGTGTGTGTGTGTGTGTATATATATATATATATATATATATATATATATATATATATATATATATATATATATATATATATATATATATAAATGTGAGGTGAGACTTACGAATTGCAGCTTTAAAGATGTAGCATATAGAATTGACCTAGTGGTTTAATTAATGCAGTCTAAATTCAACACTTTGGAAGGTTTTTATTTTGACCTGGCCCCTCCTCCTCTGAAGGTTGCCAGGTTGCCAGACTGGTGACAACTACAGATCATGAGCATGCCTAAAGATCAACCCTTACAATCAAAGCTGATCAGCTGATGTTTACGTTAGTAATATTTGTTTTATTTTCAATATAAAAACCACCATGTGCTGACCTTTATATCTCTGAATCTGCACCTCATATAAGAGGCTCCTACGGTCTTTTGGAGGTCACATTTTTGGCTGCACCCTTGTTTATGAAGGCAGCCTTCCATACACCATGTTACTAAGGCAACCCGGGGTACCTAAACATAATTAGGTAAACTGGCATTGGGTGGAGTTACTCAGAATAAAATAAAGGCATACATTCTGACACGGAACGCAAATTTTCAAAGAATAATAACTGATTTTAGCATTGCTTTTCAGATAAATATGTTCACTTAGCATGTTTCTTAAATATCTGCAAACATATTATGGTATTTTTATGATTTAGAAAAACTTATAGAACCTTCTAATGTCTTTTAGCTGTGTGTTCCATTAGTTACAGCTTGTGTGTGTTGTGTGTGTTTGCAGGGCTCGCTGTGCCGCTATCTGAGTCTGCACACGCTGGACTGGGTGAGCTGCTGTCGTCTGGCTCATTCACTGACCAGAGGACTGGCCTATCTGCACACTGAGCTCCTGAGAGGAGGTGAGGCCCACACACGTCATTTACACCTCCTACTGCATACTGTATTTACAGGAAAAGTTGAACTGTTTGCATTATCAAGAGAAACAAGCAAGCTGGCATTGAGTATGCCACTTACTCATTACTTATTATTATCCCCAAAATATTGAGATATTGATTTATTTTTGTCATTATTGCACACCTATAAATCACATTGGTGCATTATGTTACATTTTGTAACATAATTTAAAAATTATGTAAAATACACTCAAAAGAAAAGTGGTTGAATGAACTTAATTAAATTAAGGAAAACTTTTTCCACAAAATTGAGTTGTGTTTCTTCATCCTATTTTAAGCAAATAGAAACCACAAGCAAAATTCATTTTGAACCAATTATGTCAAATCGTTCTCATTATAATCACCTTGTGAGTTTAACTTGCCTAAAAAAGAGTTTTAAAATTCAATCTCTTAATTTGGACAACCAGAATTTCTGTTATTTATTGCCATTCGAACTGCATTGCTATAACAATGCCAACAGATGATCTCAGAACTGGCATCAGCACATAATGCAATAATGTTTAAGTGAGAAATAGCCACAGCGGCATTAATTTAACATGAACTGTTTAGGTAAAGTGAATAAAACTGAAAAATCATCTTTTTTTATTGTAGCCAGTAGCCACTAAATAAAAACAATATGTTTAGAAACATTATAAATATGTTTAAATGTAATGCTATTTGTGTTCAGAACAAAAAATAATAATAAAAGCATTGATTATTAAAAAAGCATTTACTATTTATAAAAAGAATTTACTATTAGTAAACTATTAACTTTAAACATTAATTATAAACTAATTTAAAGTGAAATTGAAGCTAGTGGTGTGTGGAAATGCACAAATTCTCACCAAATTCTCACATAAGTCATAACACATTTCAGATGATTAAAAAAAACACACACACATTTTCTAGAACATTTGGTATCTGTTTACTCATTCAAAAGCCTTATTGCTGAAAACACTTTTATATTTGAGTTTGAAGGTGAAGTGTTTTATTGGTATTTTTGAATAAAGTCTTTGGAAATAATTTATTTAAAAAAGTATCATGGAATGTGTCTTCATTTAATGAATAAAACAATCAACTGACCCTGATAGGTGTCACATCTTCATAAGCTTCTGTAGAAATTGTTTTATTTGAAAGCAATGAATACTTTTATTCAGTATAACGTTTATTGAATTGTGATGTTATTGCTATTTTATTTTATTTTTTTGCACTCATTCCATTCATCAAAGAATTCTGAGAGAAAAAAAAAGCTTGGCCACATTATTTGTTAAGGTACAATTCTCGCTATTAACAAATTATTAATTATGACTTGGCTCAATAAATAATTTGCTGCTTAGTAATAGTTATTAAGGTAGTAAATAAGTTTAGAAATTGGGTAGGATTAGGTATTTAGAATAAGATTATGCAGAATATATACTATATGCTATATACTATACTTCCTATGATAATAGGAAGGTAATATGATAGCTAATTGAGAAAATTGCTAATTAAACTAAAGTGTTATTAATTCTTTTAATTTATTTATTTATTTTTGAACAGCAAATGAGCATATTAGAATTATTTTAGATGGATCACAGAAATGACTTACATGACTTATCAGTCTAGTTATAAAAAATGAGTTAAAACAACACAATTCTTCCGTTTTTTGGGGGGACAACTTAATGTAATAATCCACTTACATTAAAAAAAAAAACGATTAAATTAACTTAATCAATTTGTGTTGGGAAAAACATAAAGGAATTGTGTGGAACCCAACACTTCACTGTTGTAGTTAATTAATTAAAGGCAAAAACTCCTAAACATAATTAGTTTTATGTTCAATCCACTTAAATTAATCAAATTCTTATAATGGTTTTTGAAAACTTAATTCATTGATTTTCCTTTGGCTTAGTCCCTGATTTATCATGGGTTTTCCACAGCAGAATGAACCCCCAACTGCTCTGGCATATGTTTTACACAGCAGATGCCCTTTTAGCCACAACCCAGCACTAAGAAAGGTGTTCCCTTTTGAAGAATTAAATTCAATTTGTAAAGGGACATTTACATTATATACTACAGTTTGGGGCATGGTTATTATTATAGTTAATTAAAAACAGATGAATTGTGTGACAAAAAACAAAAAAAAAAACTGAAATAGTGGCTTTCGATCACAGAAATAACTTATATGACTTATCAGTCTAGTTATATAAAAGGAGTTGAAACAACACAATTCTTAAGTTTTTTGGGGGACAACTTAAGACTTTATGTTCAATCCACATACATTTTAAAAATGATTAAGTTAACTTTATCAATTTGTGTTGAGAAAACATGAAGAAATTTTGTTTTGAAAACTTCACCGTTGTAGTAAATTAATTTTAGGGGAAAAAAGCTCCTAAAAATAATTATATATTTTTTTTAAAGTGCATTCAACGATAAAACAGTTATTTAATTTTTTTTTGTTATGAATATTTGACAGCTTTACAGTATTTTGGTCACATAAATATAGCCTTCGCAAGCAAAACTGTTGGAACTTTAACTTACTTTATCTATCAGTAATATTGAAGATTAATTTGTTTCCACTAGTGGGAGATGGGTTTGGGGTATTAAATTAAAACTAAAAGTCTTTCATTTCAAAGAAGTGTAGGCTAAAGATTGACATCTCATTTACCACCATTGTGATGGGCATATAATTAAGAAATAAATCATGCCTCTTTTTGAGTTTGTATCAGTTGGGATACATGAACATGACTCATCCGACCACTTGGAGACTTTGAAGATGATCAGAAATTAATCGCTTTTCAAAATTCTGCTAAAAACCGTTTGATGTCTGGGTTTTAAGTCTTCAAATGAGAAGCAAGTTGTTATCTTTCCTTTTCGGTGTCAACAGACTTTGCCAGTGAGTTTGATTGGCATATAATTTAGCCGAAGTCTAGTGGGAGATATAATAAATCATAACATGCCCTGCAGGCGCAGATGTGTTCTGGAGATATATGACAAACATGTTAATAAAGTCGTGTGGAAGAAAAATTGAGGTTGAATACAGTCATGGGCAAGGTGAATGTGCCGTTATAAATGATTCTTGTTGCTGTACTGCAAATGCAAGGCTCTCAAAGTCTGTGTCTGTGGACGAGAATGAATGTGCTTCTGACCACATGGGTTAAAAAAAGCTGCGTGAATCCACCCAAAGACATTTGACCAGCCAGTTTGAATAGAAGCTGCTTCTCTAATCTGCACATCTGGGTCAGACAGACTGTTTTCTGTAACACGAATCAGACGCTATTCATTTTTCATGATGCATCTTTGTGTTTAACAGAACGATGTCATGTATTTATAAGAATGCAGAGTGTGTAGATGTTAGAGATTCACAGCTGGGAGTGTGCAGAGGATTTGTATGTTAAAAAAAGGTTAAGATGGACGGTTTGAAATGTAAAAAAAAAATGATTCAGCATGAAAGTTCTTTAATTAGTATTATTATTTGTCCTCTAGTAGTATTATTATTATCTAATTTGTGTTTCATATTTTTCAGAAAGCCTTAAAAGTAGGCATCATATATTATTTCAGCATGACACAATCTACAATGTTGAGGTATAGTTGGTCAGGAGCCACGTTGAAAACATACATGATTTGAGGAAATCATTGATAAGTTTAACCATATAATGACCAAAAAGTTGATCGTGTGTCTGTATTTCTTAGGCCTGTGACTGTGTGAGCAGTTTAAAGCATATAGCATGGAAGTATGTGATTTTGGATGCAGCCTGGCATGTTTTCATTTCATTCCTGTACGTTCTATAATCTACTCGGCTCGTATACTGCTTTTTTTTAGTATGAAAGTATGCGATTTCAGACGCAGCCTAACATGTTTATTTCTTTCCCATAGTCCCGTAGGTAACGTTGACCAATAAAAGCACAGAATCTTTTTCGCACACAGGTTTTAAAATGGCAAATACAGGAGTGAGGACTGTGCTGCTAGGTGGACATTAAATAGATGAAAGCTTAGTGGAGTTCTGACAACAACACTTTGTATGATGTATCATTGAGGGACTACCATGACAGGGTAAGAACATAAATGTTGGTGATCAATAGCCAGGCGCTTTGGCTATATTGTATGAATTGAGCAGTTTTATCCAACTAAGACCTTCTGAATCTGAACAGACGAAATTACTTTATTCAATAAAGGAACAGATTTAATTTCAGTTAGTTAGATAGGTAACTTTATTTGTTTATAAAAAAAATCATTTAAAAACACGGTACCCCTACTCTAAATAAATATCCAGTCTACTGGCCATCAACAATAATATTTTAGATTTATGTAGTGTTTCAGGCATTCATATTCGCACACATAAAAGTTTTGTTTTTGTGCATAAAGCTTGTATAGTTGAGCTTCTGCTTATGTTCCCTCATCAATATTTTAGATGTGAATAAAAGCTAACAAAATACACACTGTTGGTTTGTTGTAACCTAATGTTGGGTCAAACATCGACAGACACAATGTTAAGTAAAATTTTTAAATTTAATTTAAATTACACTTTTTAACCCAAAATTTGGGCTTGTTATTTAACCTAACATTAGTTTATAACAACCCAGTATGTTTGAGAGTTTATACAGCAACCCAGCAGACAAAGTATGTCAACATGACGTCAGATTGGCGTTGTATCGTGGGAACGTTGCACTTTTTTGGTGAATGAAAATCGAGTTGACGTCAGAATCCAACATCAGTTCGATGTCATTGTTCAACATCCAACCTAAAATCAATCAAATATCAACGTCTATTGACGTTTCAGCTTGACGTTATGTGGACGTTACCACTATGATGTCACGTCTATCAGACGCTTGGTTGTCATACCTGATGAATAAATGTCAGGATTTGACGTCAATATGACGCTGGTTTAAGATGTTGGCTCAGCGTTAGATTGTGGTCAGTTTCCAACACAACCTAAAATCAACCAAAAATCATTGTCATTATTAGACGTCAAAACAACGTTGTCCTTAGACGCTGGATAGACATTGAATTTTGGTTACCTGATGTCACAACCTAAATCTAACCTATTATCTAACATAACCTCTTATGATGCTGTGTACGCTGGTAGATGGTGTTATTTAATAGATTAAATGGCTTAATTCACATTCACATTTTGGATGTTTGAATGTTTTCTCTCCACAAGTCTGAAGGTTTTAACTGCAGTATCTTGCCTTAAAGGGCCAGCAGCATGAGGTGCTATAAACAAAAAACATTCCCCTAATTTGTTTGTCGAGCTCCTTGTGTTTCGCTGGAGCATCGCCAGAGATCAGCAGACAGTCTGCGGCTCATCATATCTCAAGTTCATTTTCCTCTCAGCTGTCTCATTAACAACTGATCTGAGAGCAGCCGTCCACCGGCTTTCTGCATCAGGAGATATTATGCGCTGATCTGGGTGCAGTCGTGGTGCATATTGTTTTGCCACTGCCCTCATTACTAGCTGAACTTTAGAGGCAGACAGACAGCGGGTTGAGAATGAGAGAGAGAGAGAGGGTATTCATCCACATACTCTATCCTTAGCACATTCGTCTCTTAGCGCCCTCTGCCGGTTGAGTCTTGTAATGGTTTGTGAAAACATTCATTTTCCTTTGGCTTAGTCCCTGATTTATCATGGGTTTCCACAGCAGAATGAACCGCCAACTACTCTGGCAAATGTTTTACACAGCGGATGACCTTCCAGGTGCAACCCAATACTAGGAAAGTTTGTGAAAACTTCTCAGAAATAATGTACTGTACGAGTGTTTCCTGTGGTGGAATTTTATTCAGGTTGTAAAGGGGCAGCTCTATGATATATTACTGTTTTGGGCAGGATTATTATAGTTAATTAAAAGAACAAACATGTTCAACTTTATGACTAAATTTAAATATATATTTATCTTGAATTATGTTAATAGGAAAAAAAATTGTATGAAGTTTGTATTTTTAATATGAGTTTTCAGCTACATTAATGTAAACAGCATAATGCAGTATTTTATTATACATTCACCCCCATTTCCTTTCTTAAATGTATTTTTTCAAAGCTGAGTTTCTGGCATAATTACTCCATTACTCAGTGTCACATTGTAATGCAATACTTTATATTAAAAAAGGAGACTAACAAAACTTTTCTGATGCCACATTATAGCAGCAATTGTTTACACATAATATACAGTACATAACAGTAATGACATGGTAGGGAATAGGGCTGTGCGATTTGGGCGAAATATTTAATTGCAATTTTTTTAACAGATATTGTGATTTTGATTTGATTTGCGATTTAATTTTGTTTTCAATTTAGATACTGGTTGCTGTATTTCCTCGTGCTGGCAGCAATTTCTGCGACAGCTCTTATAAATTAAAAATCATTTAAGAAATATTTAATGGCACAATATTAAGTGGATTGTTGATCTGGATGTTATGTATAAATTTTGTATTTTAATATTTTTATTGCTCTTGTTGTTATGTATTAATGTAATTGTGTGTTATGTTCGATGGACCCCAGGAAGAGTTTGCACTTGTCAGGGGATCATGATAGATAGATAGATAGATAGATAGATAGATAGATAGATAGATAGATAGATAGATAGATAGATAGATAGATGGATGGATGGATGGATGGATGGATGGATGGATGGATGGATGGATGGATGGATGGATGGATGGATGGATGGATGGATGGATGGATGGATGGATGGATGGATGGATGGATGGATGGATGGATGGATGGATGGATGGACGGACGAATGGACGGATGGATGGATGGATGGATGACCTGTTTTGTTTTTGTGTCTGTGACTTTGAAACTAAAATATTCCCATATTACTAATGTGCTGTTTTTTTAATATTAATTAGTCTATTAATGGTTCTGAAGCGACAGACAGCATCATCCCACTCATCCGCGCTTTCCTGTTTGTTTGTTTTTATTTTATTGTGGGTGCTCTGCATAGTTTGGTCATGCAATTCTGATTGGGCAGAAAGCAAGTGTGCTTAATCAATTGGCTTGTAAGACTTGTCACACGCTGACAGCTGTCATGCTTTTGCTAAAGGCAGGATTAAATAACACGTAAATTAAATAACACACACACACACACACACACACACACACACACACACACACACACACACACACACACACATATATAGTGATTAGCTAATCGCAAGAGGCTGTGATATGAAATATATATATATATATATTTCATATCACAGCCTCTTGCGATTAGCTAATCACTCACATCGTTTCAAATTGCGATTCGATTACGATTGCACAGCTCTAATTGAGGCATATAATTAAATTAAAAAAATATATAAATAAATATAAATGACTTGCTCTAATTGTATGTTAAACTGCAATTAATAAGTTAATTTATTAGTTTAAGCTGGATTTACAACAACATTATGCAATCTTTGTTAACACTTTAGAATAATGGTTCACTCGTTAATGCATTTACTAACATTAACTAAGTATAAATAATGTAGTAAAGCATATTTTAATCAAAATTCAACATTAACTAATTTGTTAATACAATCTAAATTTGTGCTTGCTTTTATTAGTTAATGAACGGTGAGTTAATTAACTAACATCATTTAACTTGAATACAACAAACTAAAACAATACTTACCTTAACAGAGATGAATAAATACTGTAATACATATATTACTAATTATTTAACACTAACTAATGGGCCATTATTTTAAACTTTTACCCATTCCTGATTTCAATAAATCAATTAATAATTTAATAAATGAATTAATTTTATATATTTTAATTCAGTATTTCTCCCTGTTTTAAATAAATATTAATATGAATATCGTGATTAGGATTATTCAGTGAGTAGTGTCAAAAGGACAGCATTTAATTGAAATATACATCTTTAAAGCCTTCTTGTTGACACCATGTGTACAAAGACATCCAGATTCTTCCACACATGCCTTTAAAAAAGAAGACATTTGTGCGAGTTTGACTCCTCAAAACCGTGATATGAAACCACCATTTCCTCACATGGACTTTTCTTTACAGATATATACAAACCTGCCATTTCGCACCGGGATCTAAACAGCCGGAATGTTCTAGTGAAGAACGATGGCACCTGTGTGATCAGCGACTTCGGTCTGTCTATGAAGCTGACTGGAAATCGTCTGGTACGGCCTGGAGAAGAGGAAAACGCCGCCATCAGTGAGGTCAGAACAAGATGAAGCCGCTGAAATGAGTTTTCTTTTTATTGCACATGACCCATTTATAAGCCATGAGAGAGAGTTATTTGTCCACAATTGCTGACTCAAGCAATGTAAAAGCACTTGTGACCTCACACCTGCCCTGTTGTGCTGTGTAGGTGGGCACGATCCGCTACATGGCGCCGGAGGTGCTGGAGGGAGCCGTGAACCTCAGGGACTGCGAGTCTGCATTGAAACAGGTGGACATGTACGCCATCGGCCTCATCTACTGGGAGACCTTTATGAGGTGCACTGACCTTTTTCCAGGTGAGAAAATACACGCAAATAACAGCAACGATGCAGATGTGCTGCTGCATAATGCCTGTAGTAGCAGGTTTTTTGTGTTGTTAAAATTACGTAGATGTACACTTTAATTGTGTTCATCTTTTTCCTGTAAGAATTTTTATGTTCTTTTTCATTAAAACCGCATTATATATGTGTGCTGCTGCTAGATGTTGCTTATTTATTGATGATACCATGAAAGGTCACAGGAGTTTACATGAATTTCATAATCATATGAATTTACATGATTTATTTCATCATATTGAATTGAGTGAGATGTTAAATTTCTACTTCTGTTTTACAAGTATTCTTGTCTCTTAATAATTTTGTGTTCAGTTAGTACACTTTAAAGGCAATGAATGGAACCTATTCACTGCCATAAAAGTGAAATGACTGAACCTACACACAAGAGCCTGAGAAAATTCTCATTTAAAGTTTTAAGTATTTGTGATGTGAACCTAAACTGGTCTCCCGGTTCGGTTTGGATAAGGATATCGTGTTATTGATTCAGTTCAATTTGATATCTCGGTGCATCACAGTGCATTGATGATTGTTTCCATCCACAGTTATATATTTTTTAATAAAATGTTTATTTTTTTAATAAAAAATGTTTAAATATATTTATATTTATACAGTACAGGGTGATTCAAAAAGAATAACTTTAATTTTACTTGCTCAAAGAAAACATTCATTACCACAACTAGGAATGCTAAAGCTCTACGCTACATGAAAGCCATGCAAGCCAGTCTAGCAAATTGAAGTATAAAAATAAAAGTACCTCAAATATCCAGTGCTAGTTTCAACAACTTTGTGTTGCCTCATTTAAAAATGCTCTGCAAAAATAGTTTGTCCACTACACCGACCTCGATTGCTGAATTCACTGTTTGATTTTATTGATTACACGAGCTGGATTCACTGGTTTACAAGGGGGTAAATACAAAAAAACAACAACAACTATAAATTAAAAATAAATATTGTTTGCTGATTTGAACAGAAATATATTTATTGTTAGGGCTAAAAAGTATATCATGTGAGAATTGATATGGCAAATTGTGCATCTGCAATAGCCACATCCCAGGATCAGATTGGTCTGATTTAACTCGTCTCTCGGTTCGGTTCGAATAACATTATAAATATATGCATTGACTCTTTTAATTAATGAATGTTAGTTTGTGTAGCTTTATGAAATTATTACCTCACAATTTTAAAGGCAAAATACATGTATTATTGTTACTTAATTAAAAAATGGATGCCATCGTTTCACTAGAAAAAAAAAATCCTGACAGTGATAATAACTTAATTTTAATATACTTTCTTTGTATATCTTTGCATTAAATTACTAACTTGTAATTGATTACAGTATATCTTTGACCCATAGTCTGTTTTTAACACTAGAAACATCAGTGCTGACAGCTTTTTTATGGCATATGCTGGATAATCCACAGCTATGTTTGTAATGCTTGAGAAAGATGCAATTAAAAAAAAACAACAACTTGAAGTTCTTCCACCCCTGCATAAAATACATAATACATAACCTTTTATAGTGCTAAATAATTTGCAGTTCTCACAAAGAGATTTATGGATCATGCATACTAGTGGGAACATTGCTCACAGCAGGAGGTATGAAATCTTTTGAAACCTGACTGTAATTGTCTTGATATTTCACACTAGAAGAGGATTTATTACAAAAAGCATTGCTTTGATGATGGCAGCTGTGGTATTTAGGGTCTGTGATTTTTAACTTTTATTAAAGAGTATAACAGCACACTGAAATGCTCACAGAGATTTTTCTTACTTCATTCCTTGCAAAAAATGAAATTGTTGAGACGCACACTGCTTGATGTTAAGATTATCATTATTATGTCAAAGATTAATTATAGGTAATAACTATCTTGAAAACTAGGAATGCCAAAAGACTATGTTATATTAAAGCTACGCAAGCCAGTCTAGCAAATTAAAGTATAAAAATAAAAGTACTTTAAATATCCAGCGCTAGTATCAACATCTCTGTGTTGCCTCATTTGAAAATGCGAGACAAAATTAGCTTGTCCACTACACCAAACTCGATTGCTAAATCACTGTTTGATTTTATTGATTACACGAGTTGGATTCACTGGTCAGATGCACTAGGAATGAAGCACAGAGTACACCTGCTGGTTACAAGGGAGTAAATACAAAACAACAACAACTATAAACTAAAAATAAACATTGTTTGCTGATGTGGACAGAAATTGTTAGGGCTGAACAATATATCATTTGAGAATTGATTTCGCAATGTGTGCTGTAACTGGAATAGCCACATTTCCGGGTCAGATTGTCTATTTTTTAATTATTATTAAAATGATGCTTATATTATTTTGCATTTAATTGTTCAATTAGTGTATTTTGAGTATTTTGAATAATGTTAAAACTCCCAGAAAACCATAAAGCACTGTTTATTTGACTTTTTTTTGCTCCGTTGTATTCATATATGCTTGTAATTAATTCTATTTTATGCAGATATAATGCATGGAAAAAGACTTGATCCTCCCAGTCGATCTGAAATAATAAAATCTCGCAATATGTATCACAGCAAACCAAACTATTGCAATGTCAGATTTTTCCAATATGGTGCAGCCCTAGTTGTTGTTATAATTAAATGTATTTTTATCATTCTTGGTGTGAATGGTCCTTTAAAGGTGATACATCTTCAACATTTTCCTTTATATTTAAAGTGTTGTGAGTTGTTTGTGCATTTATAAGACCCATGAAGTTTTAAACACTGAAGAGTAAAACCCAAAGAGATATCCTTTATAAAAAGTTACGACTCATCCACGACTACCTAAACGCCTCATTCAAACACGCTCCCACATTTAAACCTACATCAGTCAGTGAGAAGATTGTCCAAACATGTATATTCATTGAAGTATATACAAAATAAAGTAAAATAACTCACTCCAGTACTGCTGATGCACCTGCTTGAGGTATTCAGCCAATCACAATCGGAGCACACACAACGCTTTTCAGAATGATGAGCTTTGTAAAAATCAATGGAATTTGAGGCAAGTTTAAGCACATTTCATACACAATTGTAATTTAAAGTACTTTATGTAAACAAGAATAAAAGAAACAAGTATAAGAAATAAAAACAACAAGCAGTAAATGATTAAAATCATATTAAATGTGTTAAAACAGGTTTAAAGGAATGAAAAAAGCAAGACATAATAGTGAATATGTCGAACATTTCAGGAAAGCAGGGCAGAGATGAGTTATAATAATTTATGGTATTTCCATAAAAATAATATCTTTATTTAAACTTTAAACCATGTAAACACATTGCATTGCATCAAATGTACACAATAATCTTTATTTTGGCAACCTCATTTGTCCTCTTTAACAATCAAAAATCATGTCTTTAAATAAACACTACACATTATTGGAAATATGCTCATTTTACAACTCCCTTAGAGTTAAACAATTGAATTTATGACTTTTGAATTCATTTATCCAATCTCCAGGTCTGATGGGAGCACTTTTAGCTAAGCTTAGCCAGATCATTGAATTGGATAAGATCAGTAGCATCTCATAAAAAATAGTTTTGATAATTGTCTTATTTAAAACTTGACTCTTCTGTTGCTATAGTGTGTTACTAAGACTGGCAAAACTGAAATGTTCCTATTTTCTCTGCTGAGAAGGCAAGGTATAATACTCTAGCAAGATGCTAATGGTCTAATCTTATTCATTGATTTAAGCTGAGCTAAGCTAAAAGTGATCCCACCAAAACCGGAGATCTGCTGAATGAATCTGCTGAACTGTTAAACTTTAGGGGACTTGTAAATTAAGTCTACCACCCCCCAAAAAGTGTAGTGCCCCTCTAACCACTAGGCTGCATCACTGGCTCACAGCTAAGTCCTTCTCATTATGTTAATGGAAAAGTGTGGCTTGTGTCAGTAATTGTAATGCATGTTGGCGTGTGGAGGTCTCCTTACTGACTGACTTTCCTTTGTTTCTGAAGGAGAGACAGTGCCAGAATACCAGATGGCTTTCCAGGCCGAGGCGGGAAACCACCCGTCCTTTGAGGACATGCAGGTGTTGGTGTCCAGAGAGAAACAGAGACCCAAGTTCCCAGAAGCCTGGAAGGAGAACAGCCTGGTGAGCCAATGAGACGATCACATTTTGCTCAGTCAGAATATTGCTGCAGGATCAGCTGACACATCATTAGAGAAGCACTAACTGTTATTGTCAACCATTTTGAACCTTTTAAAACTGGAATTTAATTGCCAAATTGCATCTATAATTTTAATGTTATGATGACAAGATTCAGTTAATTGTACTTATACTTCAGATTTGAACCGACCTTTAATTCTAAACATAAAAAATATTTTGACAACAGGCTGAGAAAGTCACATAAACAAGTCACAACTAATTACCAGACTGGCTTTAATAAACCTGTTTAAAAGCTGCGTACAGACAAGCTGCTGTTCTAAAGGACTAAAAAGATTAAACATGCTGATATTTTTTGGGGATATCATATATACAGTAGAAACACTGGCAGGAAAGATCCTGTTTTAAGGCTATTCTATGGATTAGCAATTATTCATTCATTTTCTTTTCGGCTTAGTCCAAAAAAGTTGTTAATCTGGGGTTCCCACAGCGGAATGAACTGCCAACTTATCCAGCATATGTTTTACACAGCGGATGCACTTCCAACTGCAACCCATCACTGGGGGGTTTCAAACCAACAAACTTCTTGCTGTGAGGCGATCATGCTACCCACTGCACCACCGTGCAGTCTCTATGGATTTACAATGTGGTTTTATTAAAGGGCACCTATGGTAAAAAATCTACTTTTCAAGCTGTTAGGACAGAAATATCTGTAGGTATAGTGTATATGAGGTCATATTGGGGTAATATAATTACAGCATCTTCTTTTTTGTCAATTTAACAACATAAAAACGATAAACCAATTGGAGCTATTGTCAGACTGACCACAACTTGACGTAGGAGTGCGGTCCCCCCGCCCATCGATTGATTGACAGCTGCGTAACATGTCCCGGTAGTCACGTGTATAATCATATAAACAAGACAGGACGTGTGCGACCGGGAATAATAGATCTGTTCAGTTTGCTAGGATCATCAATCGTCATCAAATGTGATCAAAAGTAAGTTTCACGTGTTTAAAAAGTTTTAAAACAGTGCACGTGTGTAATGAAATACAGCGATTTACTACAGATTTACTTCATCAGCACAGCCGCGTGTCAGAACAATTATGAAAAAAGACGCTTCAATCCCGGTTTGTAGACATTAAATCAGGTTTATTCTGTACATTAACATATATCCAACAGCATTAACAGATATCCATACAGCAGTGGAGATTAGCCTGTATCCTGTCACATTTGCGTGCATAAAGAGTGCAAAGCTAAACGCGCTGTCTGTATGTATGTGTGTATCATGTCCGTGCTGGGTATGCATGTCTGTGAACTTTGTAACGACATTGTGTGTGACTCATCGTTGTAACTTAACACAGCAAATGCATCAGATACTCATTGGTAAAGTTCTTACTGTTGTATTTCTCACAAACGCTACATGAGATCTGCTTCCTTTAAGTCTGTCTGTTGTCTGATGCAGCCGAGGGAGGAGATTAAAGCACGCAGAAAGGCACGTAGAAACGGTGGGCGAGGGGGACCAGCCTTAAAGGCGCAGTACAACAAAACACCCAGTGCAAAAATGTAGAAAACAGAATCGTACAAAAGGTATAATAAAAAAAACTGATGGGTGTTTTAAGCTGAAACTTAACAGACACATTCTGGAGACACAAATGATTCATAATAAATCTGAAAAAAGGGGTAACCAAGGTGCCCTTTAACATTAATTATAATTATTATTATTAGGTGACGCGGTGGCGCAGTAGGTAGTGCTGTCGCCTCACAGCAAGAAGGTCTCTGGTTCGAGCCTTGGCTCAGTTGGCATTTCTGTGTGAAGTTTGCATGTTTTCTCTGCGTTCACGTGGGTAACCTCTGGGTGCTCCGGTTTCCCCCACAGTCCAAAGACATGCAATACAGGTGAATTGGGTAGGCTAATTGTCTGTAGAGTATGAGTGTGTGTGAATGAGTGTGTGGATGTTTCCCAGAGTTAGGTTGCGGATGTAAGGGCATCAGCTGCGTAAAATTGTGCTGAATAAGTTGGCGGTTCATTCCGCTGTGGCGAGGCCAGATTAATAAAGGAATTAAGCCGCCAAGAAAATTAATGAAGGAACGGTATATTTTTGCCTATTGGCATTAATACATCCGTGAAACAAAAAAGTCTTTGTGTTCCATGGTCACACATAACTGTCTGGTTTCACTCAGGAGCCAAAATTTGCTAAAAATTAAAATGTTTGGCCATATCACCCACAACTATAGGCTGAATCCTGCTTGACACAGTGCAGAACACCTTAGTTTTCACATAAAGCAACCATCTGATCTGTGTGAGTCCTAATGCCCCAGTGAAAGTAAAGGGGACACTATACTGTCTGTTGGCGCTGTCTTTCGGATGAGACGTTAAACCGAGGTCCTGACTTTCTGTGGTCATTAAAAATCCCATGGCACTTCTCGTAATTAGTAGGGGTGTAACCCTGGTGTCCTGGCCAAATTCCCTCTCTGCCCTTGCCCATCATGGCCTCCTCAATCATCCCCATCCACTGAATTGGCTCTATCACTGTCTCTCCACTCCCTCTATAGCTGGTGTGTGGTGAGCGCACTGGCGCTGTTGTCCTGTGGCTGCCGTCGCATCATCCAAGTGGATGCTACACACTGGTGGTGGTGTGGAGAGATCCCCCTAATGATTGTGAATCACTTTGGGTGTATGGTCATACACATTAAATGCGCTATATAAATACACATTACATTACATCTAAAACATGCAACAGTATAATAATGACATGTCTGTTTTAACACATCGCTCTCCTCTCCTCTCTTCCAGGCTGTGCGCTCTCTAAAGGAGACTATGGAGGATTGCTGGGATCAGGATGCAGAGGCTCGTCTGACAGCGCAGTGTGCAGAGGAGCGTATGGCAGAACTGCTGCTGATTTGGGAAAGGAACAAACCTGTCAGTCCCACCATCAATCCCATGAGCACAGCGCTGCAGAACGAGAGGTCCGATCGATGCACTCACAATGTTCATTACATGAATAATAGTTCCAGATTGGGCTTTTGTATTATTAATATATATTTTATATTTTATGCCAGATATTTTAAATCACTTTTTTTTTATCAGAAACATACCAATGGGCTATATGCACAACTAGTGTTTTTCAGCCAACAATAAACTTCTGTTGAAAGCTTAATGTGACTATTTTAAATTCAATAAGGTTTCTTTTAACAGGATTGACAGCATAATGGAATTAAAATACATTCATTTAAATAAAGTTAAGCATTCATTTAGTTGTTTAAGCATGAAACAAGATGATAGACTGTGTAAACTCTAGTGCTGTCAGTGGTAGCAGGCTAACGCAGAAACTCCATTGAAAATACTGAGGTAAAATAAATAAGGCAGGGAAAAACAGAATTTAATGCAGTGCTTCTTGTCTGTCTGAGATTCAAACCAAATATTGCTGTTTTGTAAAGAAAGCAGAACTTAAACATGGCGATTTTGTAATGGAAAGAGTTCATCGAATTGGCTGTCTGAAAATTAAGAGTCTGTGTGCATATAACGCATTAGATTAGAAGTCATGTAGCCTTAACCCCTCTGGGGTCTTAGGGTGTTTTGCAGGCCTGGAAAAGTTCTGATGTGCCCTGACATTTATGTGTTTTTCAGTTGCTTAGAAACATATCAGTGGTCAAAGTCTAATACCACTGTAAACGACACAAACCGGGCTACAATAATATGTTAGTAACATTTATGCACAAGATTGTGTTTTGGTGAAAGAAACCTTTATGCGTGGTTAGTGTAAAACTACAATTTTGAAGTTACTGAAAAAACTTCATGAATAAAAACACTGAATATTTGTCCACAAGACTTTTAAGACCATCTTGTTTTTGTGCTTACAGAAAACAATATATTGAATAAAATATATGTGTGTAAATTAGTGGAATAATGTAATTTAAAGTAGTAATTACAAAACTATTCGCAAGAGGATTTTGATCACCCTGTCTGGCTTGTTTTTGCAATAATGACCTGTACATTACCCTACACATCTAACACCTTTAATTAAACAGACCATCTGTTCTCTGCCTTGACCCTTGTTTTTTCTTCCATAATCGCAGGAATCTGACCCACAGCCGCAGGGCTCCCAAAATGGGCTCTTACCCAGATTACTCTTCATCCTCTTACATCGAGGATCATGAGGGCATGGTGAAGAACCTCCCAGGCGACGTCTCCACGTCTGGCACTTCCTCTGTGGGTGGTGTGGGCGTGAGTGGCAGCAGTGGGGGCGTTGCAGCGACCGGAGAGAAGAACAGAAACTCCATCAACTATGAAAGACAGCAAGCTCAGGCGCAAGCTCGACTGCCCAGTCCTGAAACCAGCGGCACAAGTTTGTCCACCACAACCACCACAACAGGCCTCACACCCAGTACCATCATGACCACCATCTCCGAATCGGGCCACTCGGAGGACACAGGAGCCGGAGGAAGTGTACCAGTGTGCCTTCAACTCACAGAGGAAGATCTGGAGACCACCAAACTGGACCCCAAAGAGGTGGACAAGAACCTGAAAGAAAGTTCTGATGAGAATCTGATGGAGCACTCGCAGAAACAGTTCAGCGCCCCTGATCCACTCAGCTCGGGCAGCACCAGTCTTTTATACCCACTGATTAAACTCGCAGCAGAAGTGACTGGAGGATCTGGAAGTGGTGGACAAACTGATTTCGGGGTGGGCAGCAGTGGAATGAGCGACACTCCCACAGCCATGTTTCCTCTCCCCAAACAGCAGAATCTCCCCAAGAGGCCCACTAGCTTACCCCTCAACACCAAAAATCCTGGTAGGGAGTCTTCGTCGTCTCGATTGAAATTCGGGAAGCACAAGTCCAACCTGAAGCAGGTGGAGACAGGTGTAGCCAAGATGAACACTGTGGTGGCCGTCGAGCCACACTTGGCCACCGTCACCAACAATGGACCCAGTGTGCGCAGTGGTGCTGGAGTGGTCGTAGTAAATGGATATGGAGTGGGCAATGGTGCCAGCTCCTCTGATGCGTTTGGAAACACGAACCCCGTCGGGCCACAGGGTGAAGGGGGCGCTCCTCTGCTGCAGAGCCAACTGAGCGGAGAAGACAGCCGACTCAACATCAACATCAACTCCAGCCCTGATGAACACGAGCCCCTGCTAAGAAGAGAGCAGCCGGCCGCGCGGGATCACTCCGGTCGCACCAACTCCAACAACAACAACAGCAACATTCACACCACTGCCACGGTTTGTGCGCTCACCGCTGCAGACGCCCAGATAGAGGCTTTAACCTGCCTGTCGGGAGCGCCAGACGGAAGGGATAATGGGGTTCCATTGAGGCCACCTAAACCCAGAAGACCAGAGCGGCCAAACTCACTGGACCTGTCAGCCTCTTCCCAGAATTCTTCTCTTTTAGGTGAGACCTGGTTTTAATTTGGCTGTGAAATCACTAGGTGTTGCAATTCAAAGGTATAGATATATACAAATTCTGCTGTACAAAGGTTGTAGTGTAGCAATTTCTTAAATAAGATTAATGCTTTTATTCAGTAAATCGTCACCTTAGAATTATAAGGTTCTATCTGACATTTTTTATCAAAATTGAGTTTTTGACATATCAAATGCTTGTCGCAATCATAACTGTAAAATGCGATATGATCATTTAAATGATGTGCACATTTCACTTTCACTTCCGAGTGAGGCTCATGGCTGCCGTCTCTGTGAGAAAAAACACATACATGCAAATCAAACCTCCCACACGGCCCTCAAACGATCGCTCTGTGCAGCAAACTGAATGTTATTTACAACTTCATTACCTGTTATCCACATCCTATGCAGGTTCTGTTCACTAAAGTAGGCGTCATAGACGCAGAACTTTGCAGATTTTCTGCAGATTTTGAGCCTATCATGGATTCTGTTTATTTAATTTTATACATATTATAACTAATATGTACTTACACAGGAATTAATAGTTTGTTAGAATCTACTTATTGTGTAAATACATGTATTTATTGTGTACTTATATGCTTGATTAAATACCTGTATGTATTTACATCTGTAAGTAACTTCTGTAGTTACATTTGTAAATACACTGCTAACCATTCCCTACACCTTAACCCACCCTTAAACCTACCCACACCCCTAAACCTGTCCATAACCCAACCCCTATCCCAACTTAAGAGAACCACAAGTGTTCTCAAATACATTATGAACACAGTAAGTACATTGTATTTATTTTTTGATGCAAGTACATAGTAGTTAAGGACACTTAATATAAAGTGGGACCACTTCACTTGTGAAAAGTAACACAAGTTGATAGGGGTGTAACAATACACTCAGCTCACGATACGATGTGTATCACGATATAATGTTCAAGATTCGATATGTATCACGATATTTTGAATAAAAATTGAAAATTAAACTGAAATGCTAATTTTACCAAGTAAACTATTTTTTATGTATTTCTTTTGTTTCAACTTGTTAAACTGAACCTTCTTTAAGAAAATAAATTAAACAGGCCTGTCTTTGGAAAATAAAACAATTTAAAAACTTCTTTAAAATATTATTGAAATGACAGAGACAAGGAACAATTTAAGGAACAATTTAAGTAAAGGTGCAAAAAAAAAAAAAGCTTTCTATTCAATTGAAATGAACAGTAAGAGCTTAAGGCTTTGCTTGGTCACTTGCGTTTTTTGTGTGTGCAAAAAAAAAATCCATATTTCCAGGTATTTAATTCATATTTAATTAAATTCATTTAGAGATATCTCTAATTACAATTGTGACTAGTCAAAACTCATTTAGAGATATCTGCAAATATTTTTTAATGGAAGTCAATGGAGGAATATGACTAGTCATAATATATTTGCAGATATCTCCAATCTGATTTCGTATTAGTACTACTAGTACAACTCTAATTGTCATTCTGACTAGTCGAATTATAATTATGACTAGTCAAAATATAATTAGAGATATCTTTAAATATATTTATGGATAGTCAGAACAAAGGTTTAAATGCTAAAACGGCTTGCCATACGCGCGCGTCTATCAAAGTCCGCCCTCTGTAGTAACAGCTCACGGTCAGCTCACGTCATGTGTGATTTTGCGGCGGGAACATTATATGAAGACAGAATGATATTTTAGGGTGAATTATACCTTATAAATACAGTATGTGAAATATAATTATACCTAATTATACCTTATAAATACAGTATGTGACTCTTTCAACACCATTAGGAGGTATTTGTCGCTGTGCAAAGTATGTAAATCACAGTGAAGACTTTAAAACTTAGGATGTTTGACCCAGTATGCGTGTCAAAAAGCGGACGAGTCTAAAGCAATGACTGTACAACCGAAATGTTGCCAGATGTCTGATTTTGAGAGGATGGGCCATCCTCTATTTCAGCTCCACTCATCTTGGTCTGCTAACATTACTGCTGCTGCAATCTGAACTCACGTGCGACAGCAGGTGGAACGTAGCTCACGTGCAAACAGCTCAACTAATAAGAGAAAACGGACGTCATATCGTAATCGAATCGTCATAACGCCACGATGCATATTGTGACATTTTTGCATCACAATAAATCGTACAACGATAAATCTTTACACCCCTACAAGTTGATGTTCATCATACTGCCTCATAGTGTTCATTTTACTTGTAAACTGCAGTGAAACATATGTTTAAGTATGTTTTTATGGTTTCACAAAAATGTAGGCTGAAGCACGTATTTCCAGTGAGCCTGTGTTGCTAGATCTTATTTTAGAAAAGGCTATGTTTTCAGTGCAGTCTTAAGTAAGTCACAATAGGCATGCTTATTCTAGCCAACCTGTTGTGACTTTAAGGCCTGGTGGGAATTTTAAGACTGACTCAGACCATCCTTGATGAGCGGCATCCTCATGAGCAGGGTGGAGGAGCTGATGTGCGTGTCAGCCTGACTACAAACAATAACCACCCAAAAGAGGACGCCAGTCTATGTTTTCCCATCTGAGCTCACTATATCCTGCTTTGCTAAACGCTAAACGTTTCGTAGAAAAGGGGACGAGTGGCCGGTCATGCTTTCTGTCCTGCTCTCCTGCTCTTTGTGGTGTAGGATTTATATGTGGAGAAGGAAGGAAATTCCACTGCATTGATAAGAATCCTGAAACCGTTCGGCCTCAGTTGGCAGCGGCGATAAAGAGCGTAATGACGCTTGTTAGCTAGAACCTGAAGCAGACACTAAACAGGAAGATAAAAAAACAAAAACAGTCAAGCTGCCCACGTGTTTACATTCTGCATGCGGACCCAAGAGGAGATCTGAACCGATCGAACCTGATGATTCAGACTCAAGCGCACGCTGAGAGAGCTAGTGTGGGAAAGGTCAACCACAAATTTGAGTGTGCTGAAATACTACTCTTTGGGCGGGTTGTTTGGAGCAGCACCGCTAGTATTCCCGATTGGCACATTGCAACACGCACAACTGTTTCTCATTGTCGTGGAAGACTGTAATTAAGGATGTTTGTTAAAATGTGACCTTCTTTTTCTGTTTTAGATGAGGCCGTGTCGCAGGAGGGAAAGGCCGGATCAGCTGAGAAGATTAAAAAACGTGTGAAGACTCCTTATTCGTTGAAAAGATGGCGTCCTTCCACATGGGTCGTCTCCACTGATACACTAGATGGAGAGGTGAACAACAACGGGCACAGCCAGCAGACGATGATGGCAGTAAGTGGAGGTGGTCACCCAAGCGCTGGCCAATCAAAGTCCAGCATCGCCGTGTTTTTGGTCGGCGGAGGAACAGCAACAGCTACTCTGACCTCCGATCCTCCAGATATGACCTGCCTGTGAACTCGCATGAGGATGAGCTCAGATCAGACTTTTTTTGTCTATGCTTTTGTGCTCCGATGGATAGAAATATATATAAAAAAAACGTTTTTGGAAAGCAGACTCTTGAAGGGACGTAAATTGGCAAGCACTTAATGTTGTCGGACTTGTTTTGAAGAAATCGCTTTAAACCGAACCCAGCTATGCAGCAACATTGGCATAAAATGCTTCCATTTGTTTTGGTTCTTTTTTTTTCCTTTCCTCAATCAAGTATGGTTGCTCTATTATTCGTTGCACTTTTATTTTGTACGTAATCTTAATCATAGATCCTCCGACCATCCAAGAATGGTCTTAAAACGTAAACGACAATGTGTTGATTTAACAATCATAATAGATCAGACAAAATCGAAATCATGTCTATCTATGAAAGAAAAGGCATCTGAGATGAAGTGGTCTTTAAGACTAGCATCTGTTGACTGCGTCTCTAATACCTTTTTAATCCACAGTACATTCATATGTTTTATATTTGTTGTACGTATCTGTGTACTCGGTTTTTTTTTTGTATCATATTTTGAAATGTGCAATAGACTTTAGCTTTGAGGTGCTCCATATGACAATTTTATTTTGCTTTGCGAATTTTGCCGTATTTGTTTCTTTGTTTTCTTTAGTTTTTTATTTCCAAGCGCCACACTTACCAGTGCAAATCCTGTGTCCAATCGACCATCCTGACTGCATTCGTGAAATGTCGTAGAAATGACAATCTCACACCTTAAATCAGGGTATCTTCCATCCATTCCATATCCGTTTTCAAACAAAAAAAAATAAAACTAAGAAAACGGACGTTCTCAAAAAAAAAAAAAAAAACGAGAAAAACGAGATTTTGGCTTTTTCATTTTTAGGTTTAGGGTAGCAAAACAGATAAACGAAGATTTATTATGCACGTAGACAGTGCTGAAACGCCCTGTTTCCTCTGGTCAACCAAATCTAAGCTCACCCTCAAAATAATAGTCCTATATATTATTACCCCCCTGTTTATTTTATTTCCCCAATTTCTGTTTAATGTAGAGACCATTTTTTTTTAACACATTTCTAAACATAATCGTTTTAATAGCTCATTTCTAATAACTGATTTATTTTATCTTTGTCATAATGACAATAAATAATATTTGACTAGAGGCTTAACTAGGTTAATTAGGTTAACTAGGCAGGTTAGGGTAGTTAGGCAAGTCATTGACCTACCAACGATTGTTTGTTTTTATAGACTATCAAAACAAAATATAGCTTAAAGGGGCTAATAATTTTTACCTTAAAATGGGTTTAAAAAAATTAAAACTGCTTTTATTCTAGCCGAAATAAATCAGATAAAACTTTTGCCAGAAAAAAAATATATTATCAGACATACTGTGAAAATTCCCTTGCTCTGTTAAACATCATTTGGGAAATATTTTTTTTAAAAAATCAAAGGGGGGCTAATAATTCTGACTTCAAGTGTCAAGTGTATGTATGTATGTATGTATGTATATATATATATATATATATATATATATATATATATATATATATATATATATATATATATATATATATATATATATTAGGAGGAAATAAAATACATTTTATTATTAATTATTGTTAATAATAATAATCTTATTATTAATATTATTTTTCTTCTTCTTCTTCTTCTTCTTCTTATTATTATTATTATTATTATTATTATTATTAATAATAATAATAGTATTATTTAGCTCTAAAATAGTTCTGAAACAATCATGCAAACCAGGTGCTGCTGGGAAATGGTTATCTGCGCTCAGCATCAGGTGCACTGCAGCAAGAAGTTTGTTGGCTAACTATAGGCATATTATTATTATTATTATTATTGTTATTATTATTCATTCATTCATTCATTCATTCATTTTCTGCTTAGTTCAGGTTCTGCAATGAAATTGCAATCTTTGCTCAGCATCAGGTGCAGAGCAGCAAGATGTTTGTCAGCAAATTATGACCTTATTTTAATGACAAATGTGTAATAATATTGCTAATTTATGTTTTTATTTAATTTAAGCATATGCAATAAATGTCTGCCAACTGATAAAATGACAGAATATGTCATCTTAGTTTATATATATATATATATATATATATATATATATATATATATATATATATATATATATATATATATATATATATATAATTAAATAATAATAATTAAAAGGCTGGTTGCTGATTTTGACTATTTTTAGGGCGACGTCACGAGCTCAGATTTGGTTGACCAATCAGAGGAAAAGGGCAATTCAGCACCGTCTACATGTGTATAATTAATTTTAATCTGTTTTCTTACCCTAAATCAAACACGAAAATTGAACCAAAATCTCGTTTTTTCTTTCCTTTTTTGTGAGCAAAAGACACGTCTGTTTTCTTAGTTTTCCTTTTTTTATTTGCAAAAGGACATAGAATTGATGAAAGATACCCTGATTACCTTGCCACCAATCCCATCATTCTTCAAAAGGGAAGTAAGAGAAAACCACGAGGAGTCATTTCAAGTACTGGAAGACGAATGGACGACTTCTCATAAGCTTCAAGAAGGACAGTCATTTTTATTTTGATACTTTCTGTTACATTAGATGTCAGGCATCATCAACCTGGACTGTTTGCTGGAAATCTTTCTCTCTGAAGACACTGAATAATCAAGTCAAGCTCAGTGCCGTTTTACCTCTGTGAGAGTGTATGTAAATGTGTACGTATGGGTCTGTTTTTCTGCTTAACGGAGCTCATCAGACTACCCACTTCCAATATCTGCCAGAACAGCTGTGTGCTTCAGAAAATACGCCATGAACAAAATATACACAGTATGTACAGACTGAAGACTCAGAGCTATTTTAGTTTGGTTTTAGCCTCGGTTAAAGACAAGCTCAAAAGTGACTAGTATAGTGTACAATAAGAAATCCTGATTTTATCCATTTAAGCTGTTATTATTTTTCTTCCTCGTTATTATTTTTTTTAAATGTTTAATTTATGTAGTACCCAGGACCACCGTTTTATGCTCTGGGTTTATTATTCTCATGACATCCAATCAGTAAGTTGTTTATAATCATGTAAGATCTTATTTGAATGATGCTTTCAATCAAAAACATTGGAAATGCATGTGGTTTTGCGCTTACTTTGCAAGTCAGTCGAGTACAATCTGACATTTTTATTTGAATTTGGTGCCACTGTTACACACTGAAGTTTCAAAGAATGCTCCACGTAAAAATAGGCAAATTTTATAAGTGCCCTAGATTTAAACCGTTTAGTTTTACCATGTTTTAATACAATCAGCTGATTTCCAGATATGGCAGAAACACTTTTAGCTTAGCTAAGTATTATTCATTGAATCAGATTAGACAATTTTTTTTTTGCGAGATGCTAATGGTCTAATCTGATTCAATTGTTTATGCTAAGCTAAGCTAAAAGTGCTCCTTTTAGACCAGTAGATCAGCCGAATGGATTCAAAAAGGGTAAAACTCCTCTGTTTATATGTTGGGGACTAGCAAAATTAGCCTAATAATAAAAAAAGTGGAGTGTTCCTTTAAATGCCGCATCCTTCGTGTTTTACATTTCAACAGTTGATGTTTTTACCAGCCTCATATTTTTGTGGAAAGCTATCGCCACAATCCATTCGAATAATTACATAGTGATGAGGGAAAAAACTCCCTCATGTAGCAAGGCCCTGCTTCCATGGAAAAAAGAAAGATAGCATGCGTTTAATCAGAGAGCGCTTACCGTGCTCATTAAGTGTGTGGATTAACCACCATTTGGCAGAAGCCTGCGTTATCTTTGGACTTTGAGCACTTCAGATCGGGGGAAGTTTCAAGAAGTCATCTGATCCCCCCCCCCCCCCCCCCCCCTCCATGGAGTTTTCCGTCAGCAAACAAGGCGATACAGTCGAGTTTAGTTTCTCACGTCCTCTTTCCGAACGAATCTGCGCTTCAGTCTGACTTTTATATATGTTTGTAATATAGGCGGTGTAAATATACTGCGCATTTTTATGCACACTCTGTATACAGACTCTTCATCTGTTGCTTCGGGACCAAGAACAACACTAAATAAATCACTGTGAGATTTATCTGAAGATAAACACAGTAACGTCAGACTGTTTTCAGCGCAAATGCTGGATTACCCCTAACACAAATGAGAAATAATAGCCTATTAGACGACATTTAAAACATCCAGTTCTGATGTGAATAACACGAACACACGTTTATGATTTAGACCAAAGTGTTGAGGCTGGAATGTGGATGCAGCTTGAGTCACTGGAAATGAAGTTTGTCCATCTGCTACGTGTTAATAATGCAAAATGTTTACACCAGAGCCATTGTCCAGTTCTACAGCACACTGTTGAATACCAAATCATTTCCTGACGGTTCTGAAATGCGTAAACATGCCTACATGCCTTGTTTATTCTTGAAGCAGGCCTTGAAAACTTTTTTCAATTCTGTCAGTTTGCAGGGGTGGTTTAAGTAAAAGACAAAGTCTGAATTTTAAAACGAAGTCCTCGCAAAGCCAAACACAAAAAACTAACGATTGGCTAACAATGCGTGTCCCTTAACCCAGCAGGCACACAACATCGTAAGACGTTACAGTTTTTTCTTGATTGCTTTGGAGCAGCCGTCAACCCAAATCCCACATTTTCAAAACAGTTAACACACAGGCCTAAACAGCAGCACTCGTGGTCAAAGTGACACATTTTGCTTGCAACGGTGTCAAAACATTTAAAATATGCAGCAAAAGCTAATTTTGCCTTCAAACAACACCACTTGCAAACAAGTATAATCAATTACACAATGGACAACAAAATACAGAGCATGTAATGTAGCAATGTACCCTATTGCCAAAACCGTTTGTTGTCTTTCCATATAGGATGTCAAATTTGCCATTTTCCATTGGATCCAGCATAAGAAATGCTGATTAAAATTTTATTGAATACATGACATTTTTTTCAAACTAAAATACTGTAAAAACAAAACCAAAAGAACCCAATAAACACTCTAAATATTAGAAAAAACACATGGAAACCAAACTGTAGTCAAATCTATCAGAGTAGCAGACATAGCCACCATTGACTGATTGCTAATTGAAGATTTTGTGTGAAGGAGTGTTAAACCGGAGCTTCAGTGATTTCATACTGATCTTGGTAGTTTCCAATAGTTAGAGATAGATAGATGATTTCTGTTTGGTAACCATAGCTAAAACAATGAAGTTTGGACTGCTTGAATGACATCCGTGTTAACTGTTTTGAAAAATGTTGGGGAAAATGTATCAATCCAATGAGAAAGAGTTTACACATTTTCAAGACAAGTCTTCTGCTTTGCTGGGATAGTGGTGAGGAAGGAGTGGATCCTAGTTTCTTTAACCAGGTCAAAGCAAACAAGAAAAACTGTAATATTAGGTTGGAGTTAGGTCGTGATGTCAGGTGACCAAAATCCAATGTCTAGCCAGCATCTAAAGACAAAGTTATTTTGATTTCCAATAATCCAAAATCTAATGCCTAATATACGTCATAGTGGTAACGTCCACTCAACATCAAGCTGTAACATTATTAAGCCTTCTTTTTACTGCACACGACAACTGACAAGCAACAGACCAGAAGTCATTCATTTCCAATGGAGAGTAGTTCGGGAGCTGCGTGTTCCGATCATCTCCGGAAATTCGGATCCAATTTGAGCTGCGGATCTGTAAAAAATGTTCAACTCCTGCGCCTAGACTGTATGCGACCGGCCGACCGGATGTGATGTATTTTAGTGTTTTCAAAGCAGGTTCGTGCATGCGAGATGAGAAATACTAGTTTTTGAATCAGAAAAAAAAGTTTATATTTAAAAACATTTCTAATCATAAATTAGTATATATATATATATATATATATATATATATATATATATATATATATATATATATATATATATATATATATATATATATATATATATATATATATATATATGTTGTCTCAACATTCCCTCCAAAATTTTTAGCGATCTATGAGTTTCTAGTATTAATTCATTCAACCATGGTGAACGCACAGAGAATAAAGGCTCTTGCTTTTTTCCGGATTCTGCGAGAACAGCAGCTTCTCTCCCATGGTACATGACAAAACAGAAAATTCTGTGCGACTGCCACAAGGGGGCGTATTTTGGGCACAATCGTATGCAAATGTCGTGTGCAGTGGAAGGGCGGTTGATGATATTTGGTTGATTTTAGGTTGGAAGTTGGACATTGACGTCAGCCTGATATTGAGTTCTGACGTCAAACTGATTTTCATCAAAGAGCATAGAATCACCAAGAGGAGACACTCTAGTGCGATTTGGGAAACAGGCACTAGATGTGTCGGTAGCCATTTTGGAATGAAAATTCCAATAGAACAACAACATATTATAAGTCTGTAAAATAAGCTATTAAAAGTGCTGATGATTGTGATAGTAAGTGTTGTATTGTCGTCTTTCAGGTTGTATCTCAGCTTTAATGCTCTTTTAAAATGAATAAATAAATAACAAAGCAGCTGCTTGCCATTGCAACAGCGATAAGATCTAATGGAAGGCTGATCGCTTTCACTCCAAAATGGCGAAATCGCTGGGGCTGTTGCTGGGCGCTGCTGTTGCAATGGAACGTTCTATTCAGGGTCGCCTTTTAGTCATTCTAAGCTCTTTGATTTCATTTCCAAACAAAATGCAAAGTCCCCACGACGTTGGGGTACAACGTCAATCTGACGTCATGTTGACGTCCTGTGCCTGCTGCGAAGAAGTTCACCCCCCATAAAATAAACATTCTCTCATCTTTTACTCAACCTCCACTTGTTTTAGAATTTTTTTTAGTTTCTTCTGTTGAACACTAAATATAAATATTTGAAGAATGTTTAAAAGTAGCACCATTGACTTACTTCCTACAATGGATGTCAATGGCTGCTTTTATCCACAATTCTTCAGAATATCTTGTATTGTGTTCAACAACAAACATCTAGAACCACTTGAGTGTGAGTTAATGCTGAGGAAATGTTTAATTATGGATGAACTATCCATTTAAAACACAAACTTGGACTGTCAGCTGTGTTTTTGGAGTTTGTATGTGTGAGTGAATGAAGGTTCTGTGTTGACAAGCTGCTGTTTTTCTCTCTGTTCAATTTAAGTTTAGAGTTGAAGCTGTCTTCAATTGGCCCCTGCCTAGACGGATGTTCAAAATAAAAAAAAGCCACTGACATGTTTTCTATTACAGCTTGTAAAGTAAGCACTTTGAGGAGAAAAAAAAGAACAAAATGATAACTCATGCTTTTAGTCTATTCAGAAGATGTTTTAAAATGCCATTTAGAAATAAAAGCTTGCTGTACAACCCTGCATTACTCAGTTGATTAAAGATTATATTAATGAAAGCCTGTATATGAAGTTTGCTTGTCGTTTGTGTCCCTTTTTCCTTGTAGAAAATGAGCTGCTTCTGGGTAAATATATATATAAAAAGTATTTGCACTGAAGTTTCAGTTTATTGACTGGCCACATGAGGGTAGTAAAGGCAGCCACAATATCATGACCAAAAGCATGTGTTCCTTCCTGCACAGCACTTTCAATTCAGATAACAGCGCAGAGACATTCATAAAGAGATTCATTCAGTGCATTTAGATAAAAGATTTGCTTTACTTTGCCTTGATTGCAGTGATCATGTGTTTTTCATTTACTTTCTGAACACACGCACACAAATGCTATTACTTTTCACCAGAGAGTGAGCATGTTACTGTTTAGAAAGTATCTATCTATCTATCTATCTATCTATCTATCTATCTATCTATCTATCTATCTATCTATCTATCTATCTATCTATCTATCTATCTATCTATCTATCTATCTATCTATCTACCTGTCTGTCTGTCTGTCTGTCTGTCTGTCTGTCTGTCTGTCCAACCATTTTTTAAGACGGAAAAACACGTAGGCCCTAGACAGGCCCTTTTTTTTTTTTTTTTTTTTTTTAAACAATTAGATTTAAGAGTAAAGGCATATTATTTCATGTATTTTTTATTTCACTGTAGTGTGATTGTGTAGATCACAGAAGATTTGATGTATGAGACAACATACGTTACTAATGTGAAGTAAATACTGAATTTATAAAATATTGTGGTTTTATGTTGGGAGCGGGTTTTCTTTTCTTATATTTTCTTTTTTCTTTTATATTTTCTTTAGATTCAGGCCCGTAGCTGGGGGGCATTTGGAGGTTTTCGGGTGACTAAGTCCAGAATCTGACCCCTATATTAGCTCATTTGTCTCATTTGCTCATTTTTGACTGCTATGCCATCACACATTGTGAAAATTCTAGATAGAAGAAGGCTTTAAGACAACTTAAATTTTTATACAAATTTGAATTAAGTGGCCAAATTCTGACTGAGGAAAGTTGAATGAGCTGGCCAGTTTTTATTTGCCCATAGGCAAATGTTTTTATTTTAAAACAAGTTTTACCAGATTACTATTTTTAGAATAATGCATTATAACACACTTGTATTTAAAAATAAGTATTTTTTTCATATTTCTTTATTCAATTTTTAAATGCTAATCTCATAACAATATTTATAAAACTGGATTAACTTACAGTTTAAATCCAAGTTTGTAAATAAATACTTCGTAGTAAAATAGTATGATGATCACTTTGACAAAACTAGGAAATGTTTTTTGTGCATCAAAAAAGTGAGGTTATGATCACCGTCCGACAAGCTGATCCAGCATAGTTCTTAAAGTGTTACTAAAATGCATAATTGAATAGAAAATGAGGCGAATAACAGCACACACACACACACAAAAAAAACATCCCTTTCAACAGGCTGGCTACGGGCCTGTATTTTTTTTACAGACATCTTTAAAATTAAATTGATTAAAATGACAATTTACAGCATTCAAATGACAAAAAATATATTTCTAATCTTAATTTATTAATTATAAATTGATTATTTATTAATAAATTTAATAATATTTCTATAACAATGACAGCATCTTGTTCAGCTGTCAGACATAGTTGATAACTGCTATTTTAAGAGCCTTTAAACTCAAGAGAAGCAGACAGTAATATATCATATTGATAAATCCTGCTAACCTACTTCATAAACCTTAATTACCTTCGTCACAGCGAAACCATGAAACATTTTCCTCATAATAAACCGTGCGTGCTCACGAAATTAAAGAATCCACTTCCCAGCCAATCAGAAGTTGTGAGTGGAGAGCGACCAGCCAATCAGGGGCAAGGAGGCAGAGCGCTGGATCGAGTTGACGGTGCGTGGCTCTGAATCTCCCTCAGTTTACTCGAGCTCGCGGAACGGCTCGGCTGTGCCAGTCAGGAAGCTTAAAACTGTCTTTAAATGGAGTGACAAGAGCACCAAAGAGCATTAACCACCCCAGGCGGTCTTAAACGCACGTTTAAACTGTTATTGTTGACTTCTGCGCGATTTCCCAGCGAACAGAATGTCTCAAAGAGTTCGCAAAAACGGATCTCCGACGTCCGGAGTGACCACGGGAAGCCCGATCGGATCCCCGGGGATCAGCGCCGCTGGAGTGAATTTACTGGGTCGCCTGCTGCCCATGAAAGCCACGGTTCCTTTCCAGCTGAAAACGCAGCCACAGCACCCTCTACAGACACGGACGGTTCTGTCCTCCTCATCCTCCGGTAACGGTAAATGCCACAGCAGCGGAGCTCACAGCCGGAGCCCCACGCGATCCCTTTCCTCCAGTGCCGTTTCAGCAGCCACGTCCACTTCCTCTGCGTTCATCACACCAACAGCGGCTTCTTCCTCTCCCTCACCATCATCTTCATCAAGAACTAGCCCCATTATCGTTGTCCACGCGACAAACCCTAGATCATCCTCGTCCTCAGCCCACTCAGGTGTGCACTTGGGCCCGCAGTGCTGCTCCCCCTCACAGCAGACCAGCTGCGGCTGCTCGGACCCTTCAGCCTTTACCTCTCATTTGTCATCCTCTCCGTCTTCATCCTCGCCACTGTGGTCTTGCGGTCACAGAGCCAAACCCCTCCAGACCCCCGAGCATGACAGACTGTCTCCAGAGAGGCTCAGTCCCAGCTCACCTGTGTGCACAGGTAATCCTACAGTAGAGCTCTTGAGTCTTGAATTTAGCATAAAGCCAGAAGTGATGAGCCACATGTTTACTTGACATCACTGTGGTAACTTGTAAACACACACGTGGTCTCCAGTGGTTTGTGGGCGTTATTTCCGCTTTCTGAATATTTGACAGTAGTAATAATGTCTCTCATATTTCGTAATAATAGGAAGGAACTCATGAGGCTTGTTGTTGCATTAAAAATGACCTGCATTAATATGCATGGCATGTGTAATGTAGAACAGAGATTCTTAACCTTTTTAACTCTGAAAGCAACATATATGACTAATTATATCTTTTAGTAGACTGATTCTGCTGTTATTATGAATAAAGATAACAGTTATTACACATTATTAACATGTTCATATTTTATACATAAAAACTGTTTAACAAACGAATAATTAAATGTTAATAATTATTCATTAGTAACACATTTTATGTATTTTAAAGTATTAATTAATTAAATAATTTATAGAAATAATAATAAAAAACTATTCTATAACAGTTATTTTAAATCATCTGGATTTTAATGCATAAAATGTAACAAAAATATTTCTGGATATATATATATATATATATATATATATATATATATATATATATATATATATATATATATATATATATATATATATATATATATATTTATTTATTTATTTATTTATTTTTTTTTACAATTTTTTTGTTACATTTTATGCATTAAAATCCAGATTATTTAAAATAAGTATTATAGAATAGTTGTTTTTTATTATTTCTATAAATTATTTAATTAACTAATACTTTAAAATACATAAAATGTGTTACTAATGAATAATTATTAAAATGTAATTATTCATTTGTTAAATAGTATATATATTATTTTGTTTGGTAAATATATATATATATATATATATATATATATATATATGTGTGTGTGTGTGTGTGTGTGTGTGTGAGGGGGGGTGGTTGTGTGTGTGTATTTAAACACAACTACACAATTTTAAATAAATGTATTTAAATAATTAGAATTTTTATATATACAATTTAAATGAATGAAAAAAAATTTAATTCATGTATTTTTAATGTTTTAATTTGTATTTTAACAAAAACAAACAAATTCATTAATTTTCCTTGTACTTAGTCACTTCTTATCAGTGGTAGCCACAGTGGAATGAACCGCTAACTATTCTGGCATATGTTTTACACAGCAGATTCCCTTCCAGCTCCAACCCAGTATTGAGAAAAACATCCATTGTAATGCATCACTAATAAATTACCATTTTAATGTATTAACACCTGTAGTTTTAAAATCTGTAGATTTATTCATAAATTAAAAAAATAATAATAATTAGATGTATTCCAGTTTCCTGACGTGCATTCTAGGATGCTCTGAGATGTTCCCAAGTGTCAAGCTTAGATGGGAACTTCCCTGAGCATTTCAGGGTGCACCTTATAAAGCTGGTGGAATCAAGCTAAAGGAGACTTTTTAATAAACTTGGTTTAGATCCCATTATTTTATATTTTATATAATTTCATGATAGTTTTTGTGACTTTATTTTTCTACAGTTTTGAAATACTATTTATTTGACGTAATAATTGATTATTTGGAGTTGGAATTTAAATCTCAGGTGTGAATTTCGACAAGGGCTGCATGATATTGGAAAAATCAGTTATTTCGATATTTCAGTTTTTAAAAGATGGCTTAAATAACTCTCTAATAATTAGTCTGACAGTATTAAGGTACAGAAATTGAATAATCACTAGGGGTGGGACGAAATATTGATATGCTAATTTATTGTGATTCTTACTTTTATTCGTCTCTTTTTCAGTCAAGATATCTAAAAATCCTTAGATTGAGTGAAATTATTGTTTTGTTTTCACCTAAATAAAAAAAAAACTAGCTTAGTATTAGAAACATAACTTCTAAGTAAGTTTTTTTTTGCAAAAATCATATAAAATCTGTATAAATAATTAACTCCAAACATCATATTTTTTTTGTGCCCAAATGTTTTAAACTCTCTCAAAATGCTCAGTTACAGGCCTTAAAAACACATGCGAATGATAAACCTTCACTCTATTATGGTTAGACTTAGCAGTGACTCTATAAATCACGTGTTCTGTAGCTTCTGGTCAACTATAATTAAGACTCAACATTGCATATCTTGCAATGTGGCAATTCCAGATGCGCACATTGGCGATATCAATGTCGAAACGATATATATATATATTTTGACCTTCTTTTACAAAATTATTGTTTATCATTTACACGCTTTTAGACAGAATGATGCTATAATTTATGTAGCCTCTGATATACAGAAGACCCAAAGTTTCATGACATACAGTATCACACTGTTTTTCAAGTAATTTATAACTAACTAGTTCTCTTATCAGGCATTGTGAATGTTTTAGTGTTTGCAGGCTGTAGAGTATTTCAGATGTCTCATTCATAAAACAGCCTGTGGGGAGTCGCGCTGAGAGCAGGCCGCTGTGGTTTGAGGTGGCAGCTCCAGAGGCTTTTCTCTCTTGCTGACTGGTTAAAAATGTAAATGTTTGGTTGCCAGTCACTGGTTTGGACCTTTGACTCTCAAAAGTTTGTTTTGTGATCAGTTTGCCAGCAAGTGTTGCGCTGCGTTTGATTTACTGTAACTGTTTGAACTGGCGTTGTGACCGGTACCACATATTTTAAGAAAATGCCATTTCCTCGAAAAGGAAATGTATTTGTCTGCTTTTTATTGGCAAAAAAATCAGTTATGGGCAGTCCCAAACCAAATGTGCTGTTTTTTAACACCCACCTCGTAGACAGAAGTACTGTATAGTAAGTGCTGGTTGCGATGCAGGCATGGATGGAATACTATTAGTTACAAGTTAGTTAAAGTTAATAGTAACTAATAAAATTATGGTAACTAATAACTTGATTGTATTGCAATAATGTGCACCTTTTTTAAAGCTACACTGAAACAATAATAATTGTGAAAAGCACTATACCAATAAGCTCAACAATGGCTCATTCTGAAAACGTAGCCCTATATGCATTTCTGGAGAAGGCGAATTATGTAGCCAGAAATACTTATGGCTGCATTTCATCTTTAAAACGGACGCTACGGGGCGGCCGCACTAGCAGCTGACCTCACAAGCTGACCACTCACCTCTGTATGGACGGCTTTTCCACTGTTACCAGATTGTCCAGTGGCTCACTGCATTTGTCGGCGGACATGAGATGGGGTTTGAGTCCGATGAAGAATGGTTCCAGAAGGTGGGCAAGACAAAAACAAAAGCGAAAAAATAAAATAAACCAGTAAAAACAGGGTTAGAATGTAATAAAATCTGAAAACGTGGTAAAAAATCAGGGGGCTTTTCTTTTTCTGCATTGCTTTTTAAAACACTGTCAGGTGGGTTTTGGGAAGTGGGTGGGCGCTAGGGGTGCAACGGTTTAGTCTTCTCACAGTTCGTTATATACCACAGTTTTAGGGTCACGGTTTCGGTACGGTACAGTATGTGCTACACTGTAAAAAAATCCATTATTTTGCATTTTTTTCTGGCAGCTAGAGTGCTGGGAAAAAAAGCAAAATAACGGCCGGTAAATTACAGACATTTACCATAAAATAACAGACAGTAAAATACAACAATATTTACCTGAAATTTTAATTTAACAAAATTTCTGTAATTTAAAGTCTCTTATTTTACGTTAAAGGTCTTTAATTTACCAGCGGAAAAAAAGCAAAATAACATTTTTTTACAGAATATGTTTAGAAAAAAAGGCTTTTCTGAAAAATTCTGAAAAAAGAACAGAAATAAGAACAATATACATATTTATTGGGTAAAAAACAATTAAATATGAAAATTGTATGTTCAAATAAAATGCTTAAGAAAAATAAAGAGAGAAAAAATTTATTTTTTCTTTCCTTTTTTCTGTTTTATGTCTTATAATTATGTCAACATCTTAATAATTGAACACTTTTAGAGTATTGGTTACTTCTGTTTACATTATGCTTGCATTGCCAAGGCAACAATGCATGTTTATTACCAAATATTCAGGAGAGCTTTATTATCACACACACCATCGAAGGGAATGAAACTAAAGGAAAGAGAGACCATTTGGCTCTTCTCTCTTAATTCAGCAGGCATAGTCAGTCAAGAAAAAAACTTTTCTCTGGAGACAGTGGGTTAACAAAATGAATAAATAGCGGGAGCGATAAGGTGCGGAAGAATGCCCAGCGTGATCGCGACTGCAGAAACAGACCTGCGTGACCTCTTTAGGCTGTATGTCCGGGTCCGTTTGGCTCACTACTGGGTCTAAACATGGACCTCGATCTGCCTGTTAGAGACCACTAATCACAGCTGTCATGGCAACAACAAAAATCTGTTTGAAAAAACTTGTTGTGTCTGTCTGAATTTACATTGAGTGTTTGTTGAAACACTGATGGCAATGCGCTGTGTTTTCATCTCACCTGTGCTTTTGCGTGCGCTTCATCTCCTTTACTTGCCATGCTGAACTCTCAGAAACTACACACACACCGACACATGAGGAAATGTGATGTCCACAGATTTACATACTAGGAGATGATTGGACAGATCACAGACATGTGAAAGGTAATCTGAAGCATACAAAGGCGGATTTTTTTTGCTTTGTCGCAGTTGTTTTTATCACCAAATTGATATTAATAATGCATACTTTGAACCGCGGATCACAGGGCGCAGCGAACCATGGGAAGACAACGGGACGATGCAATTTTTTACAGAGAACTGTTGCATCCCTGGTGGCCACTGGCTAATTGGTGCTTTTTAAAACAGCATAAATTCAGACAGGGGGGTGGGTGTAAGTATCGGTCAGTTGGTTTGTCAGTCAGTCTATAGCAGCCTCTGCGTACACAGCAACCTCTGGTGTATTCGAAAAAACTAAAACTGCAAAAAACCATACCTCCTGGGACGTGTTTGGCGCTCTCCAGAAATGTATATTGGAGTACATTTTCAGAATGAGTCTGGGTTGAATAAACTTTGAAT